AAGAAACAAGTTGACTACGTCGAGTTGTTTGCCTCAATGCAATGACAATGTGCAATTGTTGTGGTGAAATGACGATGTTGGTTTGTCGTAAAACAATGTTGATTTTTGGTATCAGCGACGCAAAGACGATTTTCGTATTTTGCTGGTATACAATGGGTTATTTTAAAACGTTTTTATTAGCTCGCTTTCTTGTCCGGTACAAATTTTGCAATCAATTTTATACTAACTTACCGATGAGCTGGAGACTTGAAACTTGAAACATAGCTCACAAATGGAAGACAATGCAATATTAAATAATTTAATTTTCATATTTCCCTTGGGCTACGCCCCATGGGCTTGTTATTATTAGCTCGCTTTCCTACAAATTTTGATATCAAATTTAAATGAAGTTCCCGATGAGCTAGAGACTTGAAATTTGAAACATAGCTCACAAGTGGATGACAATGCAATATTATATCATTTAATTTTCATATTTCCCTTGGGCTACGCCCCACTGGCTTCTAAATTTTCTATGTTTACATTTTGAAAGAATGTAAATATATCAATTAATTTAAGTCAGCTGTAAATACTTAAATTTGACAGTTCGAAGAGCAGACGTTAAGAGGTAGGCCTACAGGTTATGCTCCCAAGGGATTCTTTATACAAACAAACATTTCAAAATAAAGATAAACAATCTGATTGCAGATAATGAAGGTGTTTGTTAATAATGCCAATTTTGTTATTTATTTAGTATTCTATAAAGTAAACAATAATTGAAATAGATTGATATACTTATAGTTAGTAAGTAGGCCTTACTTTCAATCTAATACATAATTATATGAAAAGAAACTCAAATAAACCTTAGATTTCCCACATGCCTCTGCCTTAATCTGATATAGATGCTTGAAATAGATTTAACATCCACACACATTAAAAACTAAAAAGTAGAAAATAATTTATAAATAAAAAGCTTTTTTTAAACAAAACGTTTTTAAACGCACTAAAAAGTAGAAAATAATTTATAAATATGGTATGTGGAGAGTATAAATACTTGAAAGATTTAAAACGAAAAACGTGGGGTGCATGCAATTGATAATTATACATTAGTTCAATAGGTGAAGGTAATTGTAAATTATCTATTGCATGCACCCCACGTTTTTCGTTTTAAATCTTTCAAGTATTTATACTCTCCACATATTTATAAATTATGTTCTACTTTTTAGTGCGTTTAAAAACGTTTTGTTTGAAAAAAGTTTTTTTATTTATAAATTACTTTCTGGCAAAACTTATTACCTGGTTAATCCAAACATTTCGGTAATCCGAACCAGGTTCGGTCTCAATTAGATCGGATTATTAAGGTTATGGTGCAATTGAACTAAACCGCAATCTACACAGGAAAGAACTCATGATAAGACAAACAGACAAGATCAGATATTACTGGAAACTCAAATTCCCTCTATCCAACAAATATTTTTGTTTGTTTGAAATTCATTGTTATGGGCAGTTCATGTTGTTTATTCAATTTTTGCAGACATTTAATTAGATAATCTATGATGGCAGATGTGTGGAAAAATTAAATAAACAACAAATATTCTTAACAGCTTTTTACAATACCTAGGTTGATTCTACATGATAAACTTACCAGCAAGGTGGTCCTTTGTTGCTTTGTCTAGAGACAGATGACCAAGATCTTTGTTGTGTCCACAGTGTGTCTTCCAGTGTTTTACGCTCACAGAGTTGTCTTTTTTGAAAAAAACTTCTATTCTTGAGGGACAGCATTTGCCAATTTTGTTGGACCCCTGGGATTTGATGGCTCTTTTCCGACTTTCTTGTAGAATATGCTTGTATGATCGGCAAATTAAGAAATCTTTTCTAATGCCGCATTTTAAAGTTTTTGTTGCAGTATCTTTGACATATTCCGATGCTGTAGTTTGCTGCAGCAAATATTTCCAATTCAGGAAATCTGAAAAATACAACAATCAATCAAATTTAGTTTTACTACAATAGCCTAAGATTCCAAACACCACAGACCTGAGCAGGTAGGCTTGCTGCCTATGAGGAATTAAATTACAAGGTTTGTTAAAAACAAAGCTTCATATTTGTGGTCATCAAAGGTAAGGGGAGCAAAATAATTATTTAACAGTCAAAGGTCATTAAAATTAATATAATAGATGCAATCCAAAATAAAATTGGCTACTACAAATGTAAGTCCTGCAGTTATCTCAAAGAAGCTTACTCCATCATCTCAATTAGTAGGCGGCTGCACTTTACTTTAGGTCCTACACTCATTCGAATGAAAATATCGATTATTCGATTGTTTCGTTCGATATATCGTTTGGTTAGTTAGGTTAGGTTAACCTTACCTAACTAACCAAACGATATATCGAATGATATATAAATGATATATAAAATATCATACGAGACCTCGGGATCTCGTAGCGCAGTGAACATGTTAAGGCTCTAGTTGAAAAACTTAAAATATACCTGACCGGTATTATCCAAGCTTACAGTTGAATTGTGATATTAAGTTTTAATCTTAACTTGACAATAGGTATTGGGCATTGGGCCTAAATTAAGTAAGTTAGGCCTAAGTTATTGTGTATCCAAAACTATGACAGTCCAGGACTAACGTACCGGTAAGGTGGATTAATTAATTGAGGTTGTAGACTGAGGTTCATAACCTCTTTGAATTATTCTACTAACTGATTATCTACGCCAAATAAAGCTGGACAGTAGGCCTAATGACTTAAGTGGTAGGCTGGCATTAATGTACAGGATGGGGGGGGGGGGGTCATGACCTCCAGTATATTATATAGCTTACATAAGTTTTTACTTGGCCTACATTCATTGCTAAGCTAAGTAAACTGTAGGCTAAGTTAATGTGGTAAATGAATTAGCCTAAGTCAGTTGGTCAAAGTTTAGAAACCTTGTTTTTACCTTCTCTAGTCGTCTCGTAGACCTCGGCAGGCATGAACACCGTCCTCTTAATTAAATTCCAAAATATTTTGTCCTACCTAGGCCTATCTCTTTTTATATTAATGGATACCGGTACTGTATTGTGAGGTTCATAAGTTAATTAGGCTATACTTAATAAATTTAACTTACCTTCTTCTGTTTCGAAATTCAGCTCCTCAACTATTATGTCAATGGCATGGGCTTCTTCCAGATGCTGGATCAAGTTTTCATACCGCGAAAATTGATGAGAGCAATCACCCTCTGGGCAAATAAGCCTTTTCGTTTTCGGGTTGTTTGAACAGTGAGATTGTTCACAACTATGCACATTACGTATATGGCGCGTTAAAGTAAATTTACTGGCAAAGTGTTTATCACAAATTGAACATTCAAAATTTTTTACATTTATATCAGACATACTGATCCAGAACTCAACTTAAAATTACACCATCGATATAAGAGAAAGTGTCCAATCACTAGACAAAATGAAAGTTGTGAAGACAGACAGAGTGACAGAGATCCACGAAAAACAAAATGAACACCTTAAAAGGAAATGGGAATGGAACTCTTTGTTTCTAATGTAACGGTTTTAACCAATCTGTTCCAAACAGTTCCGTGTAACTGTTCCAAAAGTTCAAAAAAATGGAAGGTGAAATACTGCGGTGAGAAGGTCGACACACAAGACAGGTTGAGGTTATGTTACTTTATTTTTTTTTTAGCGAATTTCCCATATAGGGAATAAGCTATTACCGTAGGTCTCATGGTAAGACCTAGACCCGGGACCAATTTACTTTTTCGTTTTGAGGTCCCCAGAGGCCAAAAACACCATATATATATGTTTATATATAAATATATATATATATATATATATTTATATATGTGTCCGTTAGCGCGATAACTCGAGCAAAATTGATCCGATTTTGATGAAATTTGGTACAAACGTGTAAACCTACATTTATTCGAACGAGTTCGCGAACCAGCATAATCGGACCATGGGATCAGGGGTTTTTGGGGGGTTTTATGGGGTAAAAATGGGTTTTTCTAATTTTTGACCCTAAAAACTTTAAATTTCTAAATTTCTCTCTAGACCATTTTGAAGAGCTTAAAAAAACAAATAATTTAGTATCTTGAAGTTTTTTTGAATGTTCATTGACCACGGAGAAAATAAAAAAAAAATTGTAAATTTAAAATTCCCATGTTATTCTTATGGAGAATAAATAAACTGTTCTAGTTTGCTTGTTTATGGATATATTTAAATCAAATTTGGCAATTTGGCTTATTTCATACTAAGCTATCAATATTTCAATTGAATAAACACCAATATAAATATAAAGGTGCAATATGATGTGGAATATTTGTAATGTTCAATCTAAATTGAATATTTGAATTGAATAAACACCTCAACATCTTTCCCGTAGCAGCAAACCTAACTACTCACTAAAATTAATGTTATTTAAATAGGAAATAAATCTGAAAATTTATAGGGAATATTTTAGTAGAAATCAAGCCGGGTGAATGGAAATTCGCTTAGTATGCAGGTTTGCTGCGACGGGGCTATATATTTTTTCTCTCGTATCTACGCCAGTGGCATTTTTATAATGAGATAAATTTCAAACACTTTAAAGGGAAAGCGGTCCAAACCCATTAAAGTTTTGTTTTCTTTTGATTGGATAGGTCAAAAAAGGACACTGGCTGGCTCCCAGTCTGACCCAGAAACAATAAAAAAATTATATACATCCATATTACATATTATATTATACTTATAGATCTAAGTAATGACAAAATATCAAAATTTTAATTAAAACTTTACTGCAATAATTTTTATGCTTTATGAACTCACAACAATAGCTTTAGATACTTCAAGCATAGACTAACGTTTTATCTATGCTTCAAGTTTCAAGGGCTTATTTTAAATTATTGATCTTTGATCTAAAAATAATAAAAAAAAACTTCTTCATGGTGAAAGAGTGTTCACACATTTTCCCATCAGCTGACTCAATAAAACTAAACAACAGCTGTTTTAGAAGGCATATGGACTATGGTCTGTTTTATTTTTGACAGGAGTTGAGGAGTTTCTGTTTCATATTCATGTTTTACAGAACAGAGGAAACTTCAAATCCAAAACATGTCATTTCATATTCTAAATGGTTGTAGGTTACATTATTTTCCATTATAAATTAACATTCATCTCAGTTAGTTTTAAATTACGGTAGTTGTTTATCGAAACTAAGAAATAATAAAATTATTTTGTTTGTGTTGCATAACTCTGAAAGGAGAAAGTGTTAAACTAGTCACAGGCAAGGAAGGACTAATCTACTTCCCATTGTCCATTTATTGTACATGAGAGAATATTTCAATCTCTTCAAAATATGTCTGAATCATATGGTAAGTACATTGCCTATCGGCATATTCATCAGAATTATATAGGCTATTTTGGGACTCGATTAAAGGAATTAGCCTGATTTGATCAGCATTTCACATTCTTATAGGTAGCCTAGGCCTAGTTGTGTCAAGATCTACAGTAGACTCCCTCTTATCCGGACTCCTCGGGACCGAGGCCAGTCCGGATAACGGCTTTTCAGGTTAAACCGACATCCCCAAAAACTCGTTAAAATGCATAAAATACACTCAAAACTAACCCAATAGGTATTTGACTTAAGTTCAGGAGAGGATTGTATTTAAACACGTGATCACTGGTCTCAAATCTTTCCCACGAGAACAGTTAGTTTCAGTACCGCCCACTTCCTGCCAATCCAGTCCGGTTAAACCGATGTGGTGATAAAAATTGCCCGGTTAAAGAGATATAATTTCTGCCGAGTAAAGTCTGGTTAAACTGATGTCCAGTTAAGTTAAAAGGTGTCCGGATAAGAGGGAGTCTACTGTAATTTACTTAACCTCCAAGAGGTCGCACCTAGCTGTCTAAATGACTGGGTTTGTACTTTTTTGCGTACTGTAAAAATTATATTTATTGGTTGTCGGTATTGTCAGCCTTTATTGTTCATAACACACCACATTCCAGAAATATACTGTGACCGATTTTTTTTCCATCATCTAGGCTACCTCCTCATTTTAGTAACTTAATAACTTAGCGACAGCTTTTTGTCACGGTTCAATTCATTAGCATTACCATTAAATAACAAGCTGGTCCACAAAGAAGTATTTATGTCCTATCAGTAGCTAGACGTGGAATCTAACAATTAAAGTAGGCCTATAGGATCGATAGTCCATCGTTGTGTTGAGAGAGATAAGGATGTGAGTTAAGTGAGGCTTGTAACAGGATTTTCTAAGGCACCTTTTCAATGAACCATATTGATGAGACGCAAAAATATTTTTGATAAAGACAAATATTAAAACTTAAAGGGAATTTTATCTTTACAAGACAATGATAATTTTATAATAATTTATTTAGGCTACTTAACTGAACTTTTAAGTGAACTATTTTTATTATAGGCCTATACAATACAGTTTGCTTTATGTATTTGTAATTTATAGATAGGCGTACATAAAAAAAAACTTTTGAAGCATTATTGAGTTACCGTATACATATATAACAGTTTACACAAAACAAACAATGCAAGGTGTACAATTTTTTTACAACCATCCATTTTATGTTTTATCATCTAGCATATTCAGAATGTTGCAATGAATGAATCTGCCAGCTTTCTAAATCAGATGAGATATGAATCCCGCTGTTTAAAATTAGGACAACATAAGATATTTTTTTCCATATGTTAATTAGTGGTGTATTGCAAATTGAGAGGTGGGCAAATATTTCCCCAAGTAGATATTACCATCAGTGACTTAAATTTAATTCTAGGTATGGCAATTATTTACTATATCTACACTGGGATATGATGTGATTTTTAGATGTCTACTTACAGTTTTGTTCACGCAGAATCCAAAAATGCAATCAGTTTTTGTCGGAAAGATTCCCAAGTGGCCGTAAAACGAAGGTTAAGATTACAATTTTAAGGTTCATTGAGTGGTACTATCCCTTGGTAATAATATGGCGTGGTCTGAACAGGTCCGTATGTGGACTGAGGACTGAGTGAGGAGAGCAAATAACTGTTTATACTCGACTTAATGCAAAATGAAATCAGTTTGTTTTGAAACTAATTATCAGCTCTTATTTGGGGATGTGGGGAAGGTAGGTCGGGTTTTATGCGGATTCATAAAAATTAAGAGTGAGGTTGGGTTAGGTTAGGTAAGCTGAGCTTAATTTTATATAGAAGGTATTCAATAATAACTTCTTTACTGCAGTATGTCCCCGCGGGACTCCGGTTCCTGGGGTCCTTGGTTCAAACCCCGCTAAATCATTAATGGATTTTATCTAAGTGATATTGCCGTAACACCTACCGGTAGATCTAGCCTGAAGTAATATGAAAAACAATTCCGGGCTCGTACCTAGCGTCCTAGGAAAAAAAAACTGCAGTATGTCTTAGGGCTAAAGAAAATATTGTTACCAAGCATGGAATCTCATTATTGGGGTTTCCTTAATTACACATTTTAATATCATTTATTAGTTTCTGATACATGAAATTATGCACTGTGGCATGTTTTCACTTTTAGCTTTGGCTATTAATACAACAAATAGTCAATGCTTTTAGGCACTGTGGGATTATGCACTATGGAACGTTAGTTAACAGACGTTGGGTGTTGGAATGAGGACGATCATGTCGATGTTGTTATTGAAGTGGCAGTGGCATACCTTCTATTACTTGTATTTTACGAGAATAAATACCAATTTATTCTTAATTAATGTTAATTAATTAATTAATGTTGATGTAATTAATAGTTTATGTATCGTAGTTGACTTACTGTATTTTCTAAACGGCATCAGAGTCCATTTGCTTTTACTAATTGAATTATTGCATATGTTTTGCATAGAATGTTAACAGCTAACAGCTGTTTCCACACCCACAAACCTTCCTTCCCTTTCAGTGTTAGTCGCTGCTAAAACTTGGACTCGTCCAAACCACAAATATCCGAATAACTAAACGAAACTGAAGCTTGATATTAATTATTTAATTTTACGGCCACTTAGGAATCCCTCCAACAAAAACTTATTGCATTTTTGGATTCAGCGTGAAAAAAAAACTGTAAGTAGACATCTAAAAATTACATCATATTCCAGTGTAGATATAGTAAATAATTACCATAACCACTGCCGTACTTTTATTATTGAACCTTTATGCTGTGAAAAGTTACTCATTTTATTAATTTTGGTTGTTCCAGATTATTTATTCAAGTTTTTGGTTATTGGAAGTGCTGGAGCTGGTAAATCTTGCATATTGCACCAGTTCATTGAAAACAAATGTAAGTTTAGTAGGTTACCCTACAATTTTATTCAGAAGACAGTTACCTTAAGATTAATCAACTTAGTGATTCCGTTGTGAAGTAAGCCTATATAATGTAAAGAAATTCTGCTCAAGAACCAATAAAATAGCTGTTTAGAATAGTGTCTGTTTGTCATAGTGTTGACTGTTGAGAATCAATCTTGTAGATGTAAATTAATTAACTAGACCATTTTGGATTTTAAGGCTATCACTGGATTGAGCTGATTCTCAATCAACAAACCATTGATTGTTAATATAAAAGTGGTAACGCAATCGATCCACTTTTAGAGTGTTTCTGTAAAAACTTATTTTCTCCCCTACTTTTTGGTAGACATAGCCTACTTAGATCACTAATGTTGGAGATTTGGTTATATCTACCTACACCTACGTAGCCTGATAGTTAGATAACTTAAGCTATGGCATAAAAGAAGTTATAATGAGTTTTCTTTCTACTTGGCTTACTTTACTTTAATACTTTTTAATGGAATGGCGACCATACAAAGTAGGTATTTTAAGCCAAACCACACTTTTGACTTGGTATATACGAATTGGTCTAATTATCAGGATAGTACTGCGGATAGTCGTAGTACTCACTCGTGGCGTTTAGTGTTACAAATTGGTAACTGACATCAGCACACTCAGTAAAGTAAATTCAACAACGTTAATTTTTATTATAAAAACTGACTACAGCTTAACATATAATGGGAAATCTACTTCCCTATCAATAGTCAGAGCAGCAAATTCTGTAAAACACACTGAATATATTTAATGTCTAGCTAGATGCTTTGTTGATATTTTGCAAAAACTATATAACTTAACTATAATTTTGAAAGATGGATAATTTCCTTAAGGAAGTTATTACGCTTCAATAATCTTTATATAATTTATGAGTGCATTTTTCAGTTAAAAACACCAGCAGTCATACAATTGGTGTGGAGTTTGGGTCCAAGATTGTAAATGTTGCTGGAAAGTCTGTTAAACTTCAGATCTGGGACACAGCGGGGCAAGAACGGTTCAGGTAGGCTTATGAAAGCTAAGCAAAGCATTTAGTTTATTTTGCAGTTTTTTACACTCATAATTAATCACCTAAAAATATATGCACATATGACATACAGAAACAAACCATTGAGAACTTGATTTGCAAAGCATGTTCAATTAGCCATAGTTGTAAGTCTCTTGAACTTCATTGATTACGAATTACGATATTGCAACACAAAATTTACCACTGACACAACAAATTTGATCTTCAAACTCTGAAGATAAAGAAACATAACCTACATAGCTACAAATTAACTACAGTACACTTACTGTACATAAAAAGGAAATATGGACTTAGTTTTTACATAAACAGTAACATTTAATCAACATTATTAAATTGTTTAAACTTTAGGCTAATCTTTACTAGGCTATGTGCAAGAACAAGAAATTCAGTAAAAATATGACTTTTTGAAGATTGTGTCAGTCCTAATTCAAAAGTAATTTTTCGATTTTACCCTGCTATGTCATTAATTTATATTTTAATCCCAACACAAAGATTTTACCATGAAACAGGTTAATGTTTTTTTCTTTTATTAGATCCGTAACTAGAAGCTACTACAGAGGGGCTGCAGGTGCCTTGTTAGTTTACGATATCACAAATAGAGAGAGTTTTAATGCCTTGGCTGATTGGCTACAAGATGCTAGAGCGCTTGCGAGTCCCAACATAATCATATTGTTGGTCGGCAACAAAAAAGATTTGGAAGCCGACCGAGAAGTCACGTTCCTACAAGCTAGTCAGTTTGCACAAGAGAATGGTGAGTTGAAAATGATACCACACATACCCTAACAGATCTTTGGAAATTATTATATATGAAATGCTAGAGCGCTTGCGAGTCCCAACATAATCATATTGTTGGTCGGCAACAAAAAAGATTTGGAAGCCAACCGAGAAGTCACGTTCCTACAAGCTAGTCAGTTTGCACAAGAGAATGGTGAGTTGAAAATGATACCACACATACCCTAACAGATCTTTGGAAATTATTATATATGAAATTAGTCATTAACAAGAGCCTATTTATTTTTTGCTATTTCTCTTACTTTAAATATAATATTGTAACACGATCAAACAAGGCAATTAATTATTTACTGATGATTTCTTGTTGTCACTACTTATGCAACAAGAAGAGAAAAGTTTTTCTTGTAAAATTTATCCTAAAACAAAAATAAACAACATCGGTGCAAAGAAACAAAACTGCACATAGATAGACTTTGTTGGACATTAAAATGCTGTACAATTGTGACAGCAAAAAAAGTATTCCCACCATTTGAAATGCAATGTTAAGGAATCACTATTTCTAGGTCTAGTGTGTTTTGTATAATATATTACTAACTATAATGCTGCTGGTTTTACAGATCTGATGTACCTAGAAACAAGCGCAAAGTCAGCAGAAAACATAGAAGAGTCTTTCCTGAAGTGCTGCAAGACGATTTTAGCAAAAATCCAGTCAGGTAGGTCAGGGCCAGGCAGACTTGAGAAAAAATTGTAATAATCATGTCATTTTATACTTTGATTTATAATAAAAATTTACCATCTGTTATCGAGACCAGTAAACTTGATCATTGAATTTATTCATAAACTATTTATATAATACTAATATACGCTACGCTACAATACCGTCGACTCTACATGAGCAATGACTAGGCCCTGTGTAATGCGTAGTATCACAACTCACAGAACATGACGCTATTCCGCTCTTCTATCCAAGTGAGTAGGCGGTTGTGGCCGAAGTGGCAGTGTCTATCGTACGCATGGGAAATCTAGTTGAAAATATTTATCGTTCTAAATATTTATTCGTTTGCAATTTCAAATTCATTTCAATACAAAGAATTTTAATATGTGTTTCAATAGGTTTGCTATACCGGTTTAGTTAATTTTGAATTTTTGAAAACATGACTGCAAAATCGCCAAAAATGCCTCCCCAATACAGAGTTTGCCCATTGCCAGTTGGAGGGTTAAGTAACAAATTATATATACTAAATTTTTTGGCTATTTTATAGTAAAATAATGGTAAAATATACTGTAACACTTTTTGGGTTTAATTTGCAGGAGAGCTGGATCCAGATCGCATCGGGTCTGGAATACAATTTGGGGACACAAGTTCCCGCAGATTACGACAAGACAAGACACGTAGACAGCCTGACTGTTTCTGTCACATTGTATCGTAATTGACTCGCCTTACGCTGATGTTGTACATAACCACATCTCTTCCTGTGTACTTTCTTATGTTTAAGGATGAAATATTCTTGTTGCAAATACTACTTAAAATCCCGACTCAGCAAAATAGTATTTTTGAAATTCATCGCAACAGCTTGTAGGTTAAGCCTGATATAGTCGTTCTTGTTATATTTTTATATATTATTAGTGATATTAGAGTTAGGTTGGCACTGATTAAGTTATTCGCTCCAAATAAAATTGTAATGTAGGCTGCTTAGCACATATATTTTTGCTGTATTGTATCGCAAAATAGTTTGTATATTGATAGTTATTTGTTTCATTTTTTTTACTTATAAGCTATCATGAAAAGGTGATGAAATAGTCCTGTTGAGTAAGTTCTTGAATATTTTTCACCTCTTGGTTAATCATGCCTGTGATCAAACAAGTATGCCGTTTTTATAAAAGCAGGTTAATTTTTGAGCAGATGTTTTATAACAATCTTTGCTTTTCCCCATGTACAGTATTCTGCACAGTATTAGGAATTTAACTATCAAGTACCAGTACTTATGTAATCTTAGTAATTTACCATCCCACCTGATAGAATGGAATTGGAGGTTGTGCATTTATATTTTTTCTAAGGTTAAGCCTATATTTTATAGGAGAGTATTTTATTTATTTATGATGGAATGGCCTCTAGATCGTCTGAATAAACTAATATAGGTTTAAATTACCTGTTTTCTGTCAAAACGATCAGTTTAGTAGTATGATGACTACAGCTGTTTCGTGCTTAAAAAATAGCACATCTTCAGGTCCAGAATGTCTTGCTAATCCCTCATGTAGAGTTCGTCAAAAATGTAAACAAATAAATAAACGGGACACACATACGGATATGACACACACGAAAATACATTTAATAAACTGGTCGACCAGACGCTGATTCACGAGACACGGCGCCGGTGGAAGGTAAGTCGCGACTGTCACGTGTCGGCAGCGTTGACCCCTACCCCTGTGTTATCCTTATCTCGCTCTTTTCTTGTCTGCTTACTGGTGATATGGATGGCGGTGTTATAAATAATGTTGGATTCAAATGACAATTTCTCGTTCAGGATGTTTTGTGGTTGACTTTTTGATGCTTTATAAATTTCGAATTCCTCAACAGTGTCCATGTAATGCCCTTTGTTGCAAAAATGTAATACTTCTAAGTTATTATGTATGTTGGTGTAATTGTGGTTGGAGGATGTAAGATGGTTTGCGTAGGCTGATTTTGAGTTTTTCTTCGGTATGTGTTCTTTAAACCTAGTGGAAAATGATCTTGCTGTCTGACCTATATAAAAATTGGGACAATCATCACATATCAATTTGTAAATTCCAGTTTTATTAATTTTATCAGAATCTGGTATAGTTCTCTCAGTGATTATGTTTGAAAGTTTGTTCTTTGTTTTGAAAGATACTACGACATCTCTTTTAGCAAGTTCGTTTGTTAGGGTGTGGTTTAACACAACACCATAATCTGCACTGATGTATCTTTTGTTGCCTTGTGGTTGGTTCTTGGTTTTATTCTGTTGTTTATTAATCAGTTTATCGATTAGGGAACTGTTGTAACCATTGGCGACTGCGATGTGTTTTAAGACATTTACTTCATCGGTATAATCAGTTGGGCTCAATGGGATGGAGAGTAGGCGGTGTACAAAACTATTGTAGGCAGCGATTTTATGGTTATGCGGATGGTGTGATTGTGAATGAATAGTCTGGTCCGTGGCCGTTGGTTTTCTATAGATTTTGAACTGTAATTGGCTATTGTTTCTCATTATAGTGACGTCCAGGAAGTTGATTGATTTTGTATTTTCTATTTCGAGGGTGAATTGTAGGTTCTTATGTATTCTATTTAGGTATGCGTGGAGTAAATTGAGTTGTCTGCCGTTACCGTTAAATAATACAAGAGTATCATCTACATACCTGCTGTAGTGGATTATTCTGTGTCTGTGTCGGTTTGAATCAGACCAAAGATGTTTGTTTTCTACGTTATTTAAGAATAATTCTGATAGAATGCTTGAAAGAGGTGATCCCATGGTCAGTCCTTCATTTTGGATGTAAAACCTGTTTTCAAATTCGAAATAATTTTGTTTTAGAACGGTTTGAGTTAGAGTTATAAGTTCATGCTTAGCTTCTGTTGAAAGTGATGAATTTTTGTCCAAATTGTCTTTAAGCAAGGCTATTGTTTCATCTACGGGAACTTTCGTGAATAAATTCACGACGTCAAATGAAGCTAAAATATAGGAGTCTTTGAGCTTTGCGTCTGATAGTTTGTTCACTAGGTCAACTGTGTTTCTTACGCTGTGATTGTTTTCCAATTTTATCTCATTCCTAATAATTGTGTCTAGTTTTTTGGCGATTTTATAAGTCGGAGCAGGTGTGAAGTTTACCAGAGGTCTAATGGGAATATTGGGCTTGTGAATTTTGGGCAGTCCTCTTAACTGAGGGGCTCTGGGGTTAGTTACTTTAACATTTCTTATATCTTCAGGTGTTAAAAGGTTCTTGCATGACGAAATTATTTGATTGATTTCTTTGGAGAAAGATGGGGTTGGGTCTTTGTGTAAAGTTACAACATTGTTGGTCTCAATGAAGTTCTGGACCTTGCTGACGTAATCGCCTTTGTCTATTATGACCGTCGAGTTTCCCTTATCTGCTTTTGCGATAACAGCATTATTCTGTTGTAACTTGTTCCTAATACTTTGAGCAATTTGTTTCAAGGATTTGTATTTTGACAAATATTTGATTCTAGGTTTGGGGTTGTTCATTAACTTATGGATTTTGTTGGATATCATAGCTCTAGCAGTATCACGTTCGATGTTGTTTTTTAAACACTTAACGGCAGTTTCTGCATTTAATAATTCAGAAATCAAACTGTTTTTTCTATCGTTTGGGAAGTTAAAGTTTAGTCCTTTATTTAGTAGAGACATTTCTTGGTCTGAAAATAGCCACACTCTTAAATAGCCTACATCCTTCCCAACAGAATGATGTATTTTCTCAAATAGAAACTCAAATCCAAAATAAGGTACAAATCAAAAAGAAAACACAATCCAAAAAATTTGACGCTTTAGTAAAGGCACAGATAAAAATTGAAACAATCACATGCAACCACAAGTTCCATCCTAGAGTTGTCAACAAAACAAATATACAATTTTCAGACCAAGAAATGTCTCTACTAAATAAAGGACTAAACTTTAACTTCCCAAACGATAGAAAAAACAGTTTGATTTCTGAATTATTAAATGCAGAAACTGCCGTTAAGTGTTTAAAAAACAACATCGAACGTGATACTGCTAGAGCTATGATATCCAACAAAATCCATAAGTTAATGAACAACCCCAAACCTAGAATCAAATATTTGTCAAAATACAAATCCTTGAAACAAATTGCTCAAAGTATTAGGAACAAGTTACAACAGAATAATGCTGTTATCGCAAAAGCAGATAAGGGAAACTCGACGGTCATAATAGACAAAGGCGATTACGTCAGCAAGGTCCAGAACTTCATTGAGACCAACAATGTTGTAACTTTACACAAAGACCCAACCCCATCTTTCTCCAAAGAAATCAATCAAATAATTTCGTCATGCAAGAACCTTTTAACACCTGAAGATATAAGAAATGTTAAAGTAACTAACCCCAGAGCCCCTCAGTTAAGAGGACTGCCCAAAATTCACAAGCCCAATATTCCCATTAGACCTCTGGTAAACTTCACACCTGCTCCGACTTATAAAATCGCCAAAAAACTAGACACAATTATTAGGAATGAGATAAAATTGGAAAACAATCACAGCGTAAGAAACACAGTTGACCTAGTGAACAAACTATCAGACGCAAAGCTCAAAGACTCCTATATTTTAGCTTCATTTGACGTCGTGAATTTATTCACGAAAGTTCCCGTAGATGAAACAATAGCCTTGCTTAAAGACAATTTGGACAAAAATTCATCACTTTCAACAGAAGCTAAGCATGAACTTATAACTCTAACTCAAACCGTTCTAAAACAAAATTATTTCGAATTTGAAAACAGGTTTTACATCCAAAATGAAGGACTGACCATGGGATCACCTCTTTCAAGCATTCTATCAGAATTATTCTTAAATAACGTAGAAAACAAACATCTTTGGTCTGATTCAAACCGACACAGACACAGAATAATCCACTACAGCAGGTATGTAGATGATACTCTTGTATTATTTAACGGTAACGGCAGACAACTCAATTTACTCCACGCATACCTAAATAGAATACATAAGAACCTACAATTCACCCTCGAAATAGAAAATACAAAATCAATCAACTTCCTGGACGTCACTATAATGAGAAACAATAGCCAATTACAGTTCAAAATCTATAGAAAACCAACGGCCACGGACCAGACTATTCATTCACAATCACACCATCCGCATAACCATAAAATCGCTGCCTACAATAGTTTTGTACACCGCCTACTCTCCATCCCATTGAGCCCAACTGATTATACCGATGAAGTAAATGTCTTAAAACACATCGCAGTCGCCAATGGTTACAACAGTTCCCTAATCGATAAACTGATTAATAAACAACAGAATAAAACCAAGAACCAACCACAAGGCAACAAAAGATACATCAGTGCAGATTATGGTGTTGTGTTAAACCACACCCTAACAAACGAACTTGCTAAAAGAGATGTCGTAGTATCTTTCAAAACAAAGAACAAACTTTCAAACATAATCACTGAGAGAACTATACCAGATTCTGATAAAATTAATAAAACTGGAATTTACAAATTGATATGTGATGATTGTCCCAATTTTTATATAGGTCAGACAGCAAGATCATTTTCCACTAGGTTTAAAGAACACATACCGAAGAAAAACTCAAAATCAGCCTACGCAAACCATCTTACATCCTCCAACCACAATTACACCAACATACATAATAACTTAGAAGTATTACATTTTTGCAACAAAGGGCATTACATGGACACTGTTGAGGAATTCGAAATTTATAAAGCATCAAAAAGTCAACCACAAAACATCCTGAACGAGAAATTGTCATTTGAATCCAACATTATTTATAACACCGCCATCCATATCACCAGTAAGCAGACAAGAAAAGAGCGAGATAAGGATAACACAGGGGTAGGGGTCAACGCTGCCGACACGTGACAGTCGCGACTTACCTTCCACCGGCGCCGTGTCTCGTGAATCAGCGTCTGGTCGACCAGTTTATTAAATGTATTTTCGTGTGTGTCATATCCGTATGTGTGTCCCGTTTATTTATTTGTTTACATTTTTGACGAACTCTACATGAGGGATTAGCAAGACATTCTGGACCTGAAGATGTGCTATTTTTTAAGCACGAAACAGCTGTAGTCATCATACTACTAAACTGATCGTTTTGACAGAAAACAGGTAATTTAAACCTATATTAGTTTATTTATTTAAGTTACCAATGTTAAGGGCAATGTTTGGTCTGCAAAGTTTAATGTTTGAAAGCTCATGGCATGCTAAACTCGTTTAACTCGGCTTGTCAGTTAGAATTGGCCAAGGTTTTAGAATCAAATGCTGTTGTTTAGGAAATCTGGAAACTTAAACGAGTTAAACAATTTTGTTAAAATATAAATTTCAAAGGTTGAGAATGGTCTGCATTTTGTATGACATAAACAGTTATTGTCTTGTATTAGCTTTAATTTGCACAAAGTCTGTCTTTTTTTTCATCAGCATTTATAATTTAAGAGTTTGCATTTTTTATGACTTCCATGTAAGAAAATACACACCATGACTTTGAAATTCGGTAGCTTGTGTCAATCACTGTGTTTTGAAAATGAATCTCTGTAGGACAATAATTTCATTATGTAGCTTGCACATTCCATTGCAATGCTCTGGCATATTTGAGCCTATGCTGTTATTATGGAAAGGGATCAATATATATATTTATTGTTGTTTTTATTGTATCATTTAGTTCCTTGTCTAAAGTCCTTGCTTCATAAACCCTGAATTATTTCAAGGATTGTAAAGTTGCAATGAAATAACTTGTATTACTGGTATTGACTTAATCAAGGTAGCCTTAAGAAATTAGTTAATATATGGCATATCAAGACTATAAAAGCTGAATGGAAAATGAGACAATATCAAATAATAGTTCATTAGTGAGGTTGGAGATATTGTAGGCCTAATGTTTCCAGTAACAACTTGAGATATAGTATAACCCCTCAAATCCTTCACCACAAAACCACGACACTGTCAGAACAGAAATACCCCCGCCGCAGCAGACCTTCCGACTTAGCGAATTTCCGAGCAAATCAAATAGATGTTAAGTTCCATATTTAATCAAAATCAGAACATTTTTATGTGAATTAGCCACACATGAGTAAAATTTTGAAAAAGAGTATTTTGGCGTATGGGAACCCTAACAAAACAGTGATCACAGGATACGGTTGTAATTACGTCTTGATTGGGTACCCAACAAAACACTGGTGATTGGTAACATAGAAAGATGACTACTACTACTGAAGAGGGAGCTAGTAGCTATGAAAATTTGATGTGTTTATTTGTGCATTTTCATCTATTTTCGTCAGTAAGGTGAGCCTGCTGCCAACTTATCCATAAAAAAATGGCCAGAAGACAAAAAAGTGTGGTGAGCAGAATTGAATATAGTGCGGTACCAAACTAACTGTTCTAAAATTGTTCAACTTAAACCTTAAATTTCCAAAATACATTTTGTTTAAGGTAGTAAAGTGGGTTTTAACTTACATGAACACCAATACAAATAAACTTTAATAAACAGTTTATTAAGTCTTACAAAAATAATACAATAATACAATCCTTATCTCTAGTTCAGTCAGCTTTTTCAATAGCTACTTCAGTCTGGATTGGAACGTAAACAGCTCCTTCCTCAGTGAACCTCTTGAATCTTTTCACAGTTTCTTCGCCAAATATAGTTTCCGAAGTTGGGGATTCTGCCAAAATGTTAATCACTGCAAACCTGGCTGCCTTCTCCTGCATTGTCGAGCTCCCTTCTCTATCCAACAGCAGTTCTACCAGACCTGAAATTGTACATAACTAAGTATTTTTACCGTGCTGGGAGGCTTTAAAGTTTAATATAGAACTCGCCTACTAAGATACTACTGATTAAATCCTAAGAAAAGTGAATTAATAAAAAAGTGAAAATGAGTGAATTCAGTAACCTTACAATTAATTAACACTAATTTTGCAGCATCATTAAACAAAGATTCAGGAATTTATTTTTTTACCTAAAATCCACATCTACAAGTAATATCATTCATTAGATCCATTTAAACAAAAAAATAATTCCTGCATAATAAAACACTGGATTTATTTGCAATCACGAGGGCAAAACAAATTCATAATAAACACCAACAATGATTAAATATTAAATAAAATAACACACTCCTGAATCAACTTTTCATCTTCCCATAATTCTGGGATTGCTTTGCCTTACCTAGTATGTAGTATGTCATGTAACGGCTGCTCTGCCAGCGCCTATAGCAACAGAAGTGTTGCCAACATAATGTCAGGGAAGGGCTGACACACCATATCTACCACACAAATCATCACTTACCTGGTGTGTCATGTACCAGTCTGACTCCACTGCTGCTCTGCCAGCACCTGTAGCAACAGCAGTGTTGCCAACTTCATGTCAGGGAAGAGCTGACACAACATAACCAGACAAATCATCACTTACCTGGTGTGTCATGTACCAGTCTGACTCCACGGCTGCTCTGCCAGCACCTGTAGCAACAGCAGTGTTGCCAACTTCATGTCAGGGAAGAGCTGACACAACATAACCAGACAAATCATCACTTACCTGGTGTGTCATGTACCAGTCTGACTCCACTGCTGCTCTGCCAGCACCTGTAGCAACAGCAGTGTTGCCAACTTCATGTCAGGGAAGAGCTGACACAACATAACCAGACAAATCATCACTTACCTGGTGTGTCATGTACCAGTCTGACTCCACGGCTGCTCTGCCAGCACCTGTAGCAACAGCAGTGTTGCCAACTTCATGTCAGGGAAGAGCTGACACAACATAACCAGACAAATCATCACTTACCTGGTGTGTCATGTACCAGTCTGACTCCACTGCTGCTCTGCCAGCACCTGTAGCAACAGCAGTGTTGCCAACTTCATGTCAGGGAAGAGCTGACACAACATAACCAGACAAATCATCACTTACCTGGTGTGTCATGTACCAGTCTGACTCCACTGCTGCTCTGCCAGCACCTGTAGCAACAGCAGTGTTGCCAACTTCATGTCAGGGAAGAGCTGACACACCATATCCAGACAAATCATCACTTACCTGGTGTGTCATGTACCAGTCTGACTCCACTGCTGCTCTGCCAGCACCTGTAGCAACAGCAGTGTTGCCAACTTCATGTCAGGGAAGAGCTGACACAACATATCCAGACAAATCATCACTTACCTGGTGTGTCATGTACCAGTCTGACTCCACTGCTGCTCTGCCAGCACCTGTAGCAACAGCAGTGTTGCCAACTTCATGTCAGGGAAGAGCTGACACACCATATCCAGACAAATCATCACTTACCTGGTGTGTCATGTACCAGTCTGACTCCACTGCTGCTCTGCCAGCACCTGTAGCAACAGCAGTGTTGCCAACTTCATGTCAGGGAAGAGCTGACACACCATATCCAGACAAATCATCACTTACCTGGTGTGTCATGTATCAGTCTCTGACTCCACTGCTGCTCTGCCAGCACCTGTAGCAACAGCAGTGTTGCCAACTTCATGTCAGGGAAGAGCTGACACAACATAACCAGACAAATCATCACTTACCTGGTGTGTCATGTACCAGTCTGACTCCACTGCTGCTCTGCCAGCACCTGTAGCAACAGCAGTGTTGCCAACTTCATGTCAGGGAAGAGCTGACACAACATAACCAGACAAATCATCACTTACCTGGTGTGTCATGTACCAGTCTGACTCCACTGCTGCTCTGCCAGCACCTGTAGCAACAGCAGTGTTGCCAACTTCATGTCAGGGAAGAGCTGACACAACATAACCAGACAAATCATCACTTACCTGGTGTGTCATGTACCAGTCTGACTCCACTGCTGCTCTGCCAGCACCTGTAGCAACAGCAGTGTTGCCAACTTCATGTCAGGGAAGAGCTGACACAACATAACCAGACAAATCATCACTTACCTGGTGTGTCATGTACCAGTCTGACTCCACGGCTGCTCTGCCAGCACCTGTAGCAACAGCAGTGTTGCCAACTTCATGTCAGGGAAGAGCTGACACAACATAACCAGACAAATCATCACTTACCTGGTGTGTCATGTACCAGTCTGACTCCACTGCTGCTCTGCCAGCACCTGTAGCAACAGCAGTGTTGCCAACTTCATGTCAGGGAAGAGCTGACACAACATAACCAGACAAATCATCACTTACCTGGTGTGTCATGTACCAGTCTGACTCCACTGCTGCTCTGCCAGCACCTGTAGCAACAGCAGTGTTGCCAACTTCATGTCAGGGAAGAGCTGACACAACATAACCAGACAAATCATCACTTACCTGGTGTGTCATGTACCAGTCTGACTCCACGGCTGCTCTGCCAGCACCTGTAGCAACAGCAGTGTTGCCAACTTCATGTCAGGGAAGAGCTGACACAACATAACCAGACAAATCATCACTTACCTGGTGTGTCATGTACCAGTCTGACTCCACTGCTGCTCTGCCAGCACCTGTAGCAACAGCAGTGTTGCCAACTTCATGTCAGGGAAGAGCTGACACAACATAACCAGACAAATCATCACTTACCTGGTGTGTCATGTACCAGTCTGACTCCACTGCTGCTCTGCCAGCACCTGTAGCAACAGCAGTGTTGCCAACTTCATGTCAGGGAAGAGCTGACACAACATAACCAGACAAATCATCACTTACCTGGTGTGTCATGTACCAGTCTGACTCCACGGCTGCTCTGCCAGCACCTGTAGCAACAGCAGTGTTGCCAACTTCATGTCAGGGAAGAGCTGACACAACATAACCAGACAAATCATCACTTACCTGGTGTGTCATGTACCAGTCTGACTCCACTGCTGCTCTGCCAGCACCTGTAGCAACAGCAGTGTTGCCAACTTCATGTCAGGGAAGAGCTGACACACCATATCCAGACAAATCATCACTTACCTGGTGTGTCATGTACCAGTCTGACTCCACGGCTGCTCTGCCAGCACCTGTAGCAACAGCAGTGTTGCCAACTTCATGTCAGGGAAGAGCTGACACAACATAACCAGACAAATCATCACTTACCTGGTGTGTCATGTATCAGTCTCTGACTCCATTGCTGCTCTGCCAGCACCTGTAGCAACAGCAGTGTTGCCAACTTGATGTCAGGGAAGAGCTGACACAACATAACCAGACAAATCATCACTTACCTGGTGTGTCATGTACCAATCTCTGACTCCACGGCTGCTCTGCCAGCACCTGTAGCAACAGCAGTGTTGCCAACTTCATGTCAGGGAAGAGCTGACACACCATAACCAGACAAATCATCACTTACCTGGTGTGTCATGTACCAATCTCTGACTCCACGGCTGCTCTAGGGGATCATCTCATAACTCCAAGGTTTCACAACTCCAAGTGATCATAACTCCAAAGTTTCATAAGTCCAAGAGATCATAACTCCAAATTATATTTAATCCAAAGTTTCACAACTACAAGTACCCGAAAAGGGATAATTTCATTACTCCAAGAAAAATATAAGTGCAAGTGATCATAACTCCAAAGTTTCATAAGTCCAAGATATCATAACTCCAAAGTTTCATAAGTCCAAGTAAAAATTAAGCCAGAATCTCATAATTCCAAAAGTTGAGTGGAGTCTCATATCTCCAAGTGGAATGTGTAGTACAGTCAGCGCCACAAGTTCCTGCGCTGTCCGCTCCGCTGTAATACTGTCAGCAGCCTTTGCCGCATCATTGTATCTATATACCTACCGTCGCCTGTCAAACGATTATGTAATTTTGTTATATACTTACAGATTAATTAATTGCTATACTTCTTACTTCTATGCTAAAGGTACTTTAACCTTTAACTACTCGCGCGGGTTTTACTAACGTATGTACTCGCGTGGGGTGTTTTTGACACCCCGTTATTACATATTTGTTATAATTGTATTAACACTAATAATTGGTAAATAACATTTGTTGTTGTTATTTAAGTTTATTTTACTGTATACTGTTTCCAATATGAAAGAGTTATTTATTTTACGTTATACAATGTAAATAATATATTTCTTTTACCAACTGCAATTTGTGTGTATTTGGTCAAGTTTTGCATATAAACCTGTTGTATTAAAAAAATATGTATTTTGTCATTGAACTGTTTGATATTGAATAACTAGCATATGTACTACCCGGAAAATATATAATTTTTAAAAGATTATGTTATGTCTGTGAATGGTAAAGGTATTATTTTTCCCTAAAATGTACTACTAAAAAAACAGTTTTTATGGGGGGGGAACGTAATACACACAAGTTTTGTGCAAACAAATTTATTTATATGTCAAAAACACTTTTTTGTTATCGAAATAAATGTAAATAAAAAATGTCCTTTCATTACTTTTAGAGTCTTTCGCAAAAAGAAAAACATTACCTTATACAGGAACTTGTACTTTTTACGAAACATTAACACTCACGTGGGGAGTTGAAAACACCCTATACTTTGTAATACACATGTTTTAACTTTACATTTCAGGTAATTTACACTAGGTGTACAATGCAGTTGTCTGCTTGCAATATTGAGCAGATAGCAGGGGGGGGGGGGAAGGGTGCTTAAATCCAAACACTCACTGAATACAGTTATAGCTCATATTTCTTTATACACATTTTAACGTTATAACGGCTTATGCAATTTTTTTAACAATAATGGGCGTGTAAGTGTACATTTTTATCCACTTTCCAAAACAGGCTCAACCTAACCACCTTGCTGGAGCAGCTCGGGCACTCGCCGAGAATTCCAGAACATGAAAGGATCCATAATGTCATATGGGTTCAAGTTATGCCCAAATGTTACAGGACCACTTTTGTTAGCTGTATTGTTCTACACATTTTAATTTTCTAACTCTTCTCTAGAGTCATTATTAAAATAATTAATTAATATTTTCGTAATGAGCGACATTTCCTGCCTGTAGGCTAAACGAAACGTGATAGACTCTACTCTACGTATATCTATCTAATTAATACGCGAACACAAAGTTTGTCGGTTGAACTCCTCTGTCATTTCTTAACCGATTTTATCCATTGACGTATCATTGGAAAGAGCTGTCGCGTAGATTTGCAAACTGGCCTTGAACTGGATTTGAACAAGTCCCTTGGGCTCTACCCCAGTGGCTTTAAAGGTTCCCATGTTATCCTTATGAAGATCATAAATGTTTAAATTTTGATCAGCTGTATAATTTAATTGCTGTCAATATTTAAGCCGCATTTCAAAAAAAAGTGTCATACAAAAATTAGATCTTTAAAAAATAAATCATTGAAAGAACCCATTTGCAACTTATAGAAACATTAAAAGTCATAGAACACCCCCTAGTAGAAGAAATAGAGATAATATTTTTTTAAAGAATTAACTATCGTCATTAGCCTGTATAATGGAGAACACCTACAAGATTCAGATTTCTACAAACTATGAACGAGGGTTAGCCGAAGTGCTACAAATTTTATTAGGAAACATGGACTTAACTTTGTGATTATTGCAGAGGAAAGCCCTCTAAAGCCAAATAAATCTGGTACGCCAATGACATTAATCTATGTTTTCATAAAAGTCAAGCAATTTTAATAATAGCCTATGAAAATATCCAAGAGCCCCTTACCAACATTTTACTGAAGGCTTTTAATTATTATTCATATAATGCTAAGGGAAACAAAAATCAACTGAACAACAGAAGGTCTTTAACTTTGCATTTCTCAGGTAAATATAACTAACGTTATTGCAACTAAACAAAAAATACACCAATTGAACAAATAAAATTGTGACAGACAACAGGAAGTCCTTATGGTGATGAAAACAGATTCTATCCTTATTAAAGAATTACTTAAATTTGTAAACTTACTGCTGGCGACAAGGGTGGTAGCATGCATAGGTTTATCAATAACGAAGATAAACATGGACAACCTTATGCGGCTATAAGTCAGGAAATGATTGTAGAAAACATTAAAAAGCAATAACAGGTTATGAAACATGATAAAATATTTACAGGAAATGTTGATTACTGTTATGTACATCGTGAGTATCTCCATATGATACACACCAGTAAGCTTTGAGTTGACTCTTTTAAACTCATTGTAAATATTACTGTTATTGTTTTGAAATAATTTCTGTAATACCAGTACCTTGCTCGAATTCGAGCAAAATGTACACTAGTTAGTATTGGTAACAGATTCCTTACTCCCATAAACATATGGTTTGACGCCACAAACAAATTAATTGGACAATCCGTTCTCTACAAATTATTTAAGTATCATCCACTTATTAGCGCTTGTAACATAAATAGCTCCATAATATCATATTTTAATTTGTCTAAAAAATGTAACAAAAAAGGAACGGATGGTGTTTTTGGCCTATAGGGCTCTCAAAACAAAAATTAATTCGGTCCGGGTCCAGGTCTTACATGAGCACTACGGTAATAGCTTATTCCCTATATGGGAAATTAGCTAAAACACACAACTGATATTGCTTACATATGTTGTGTATACAATTAAAGGGAGCACTTGGCTAAAAATATGAAAAAAATAAAAATTTTTTATTTATTTTTTATTTAAAAGAATGGACTTTTCTGAATAAAATGGCGTTTATTTTATTACAATATCTCAATTAAAAGTGCTAAAATATTTTTTTTACAAATGTACGCAGGGTTGATTGTTGTGCTCAAGGGTCGTCTTTATTGTTCGTTTTCCGAAAATCAATATTTTCAAACTTTATGTACCTTTTTCTCAAAAACCACTTATGCCATTTCCTTGAAATTTTTTCCCCAGGTACATCTATATGAAATGTATAAATGTAAGTAAAATTAATGTCATAAGTCATATAATAATAAATTTAAAAATTTAAGAAATATAAAAAATAATTCTTTTTTTGGACGTTTCTATGGATACAAAAAAAAATTACTTCTAATATTTAATGGGTAACTAGTTTACTTCTATTTGTGTAGTTTACTTCTATTTGTGTAACAAAGTATAAGGTTTAAAGAGAAAAAAAAAATCAAAATGATATCTCATATAGTTTTTGAGAAAAAGGTACTTTTGTTAACATGGTTGGGCATAGGGCCAAGTGGTCCCCTATTATCTCCATACCATATTTTTTGTTATAGCAATTGTTATAATTGTCATACCAAAACCATAGAGTTTTGATGAAGAATTATGTGTACCAACTAGGGAAACAAAGAGGTGTGTGGTCTCTGTTAAAAATTTTTAACATTTGCCCGTCCACATAAGACTACAGATCTGTGCGTGTAACGTATCCAGCAAAGCAAGGGATGAGCCAGTACTACAGTACGAAGGTGAACAGTACTGATAAAATGTTTGCGGCAGTTAACAGAATCCCACTAATTTTACTATATACTTTCGATTATTATTACTATTATCTCTCTTGTGAAGTTTACAAAAATAAATTTCACTGGCTATTAGAATAGCCTACATTAAATTATGTTTCTTAAATAAGATCCTTCTTGTGTCTGCTTATTTATTCTCCTTATTGGTATGACAAGTATTAGCTATATCTATATATTAATAGGCAAATATGTTTCTTTAAGACCCTTTTCTCAGCTCGTGTGCATCGCAAGGAAAATCTACGCATACTGTTAGAAACATATTTTCCTGTAGATAACCAGAACAACTTAATAAATTAAAAAAATGATGAAAAATAAGTACGAAAACGAATTTAACATAAACAAAAAAACTAACATTTGGATTATGAGTTAAAATTCTGGTGACGCAATAACAACGATAAATATACAGAAAATCAAAACAAATTGAAGACTGGTACACAATCATCACATGTTTGATTTTCAGCGTGGGATAAATATAGATAAGTTCATATTTTATTTGGATTGTGGTCGAGTTTTGACCACTGGACGACATCAATTCTTATATTAAAGTACCTAACTCATTAAGGTACTTAAATAATACCTAAATGATAAATACCTTCTATTTAACTCAAATAAAACAATCTGGTATTAAGTATAGATGTATTTACTCAAAAACATATTTCTATGATAATTTAGTCTCGAAATCCAAATGTTTAGACCTATCTATAGATTATATTCGCTTGTTTGGATCATACAAATGTAGATAGTATTTTTAAAATTTTGAATATGGTATTTTTTTATTAAACCCATTATGCACTACAGACATTTTGCGTACAATTTACTTTGCTAACATACACTCTCATATTTGTTTCGGAATAAAGATTTATGAGGGAACAAGTAATTGTAACTATAATCAAATTTTATATTTACAAATGAATGCTACAAGATGAAACCTTAACCTGGATTAATCCTGTGTAAATTTTTTCCGAAAAATAGGAGATGAAAAATAGTGGAAAAAAGGCACTACGACTTATTTGAGTTGTGCACCACGAATATTATGTGGAAAAAATTTCGAAATTTCGTACATACAGCTGAAGAAGTTAAGACTAAATATTTTTCATAGTTTAGAAATTTTAAAACTTGAACTAATACTGTATTTCCTTAATATTGTTGTTGGAAGACGGCAATTGCTAAAATACCGTACGCGTAAACTAATTCATTCATACCTCGTGGTGGTCATCTAAGTCGATTATTGGACAAACTAAAAGTCTTACGAAAAAATGTTTGGAACAAAAATTGAAGAACATCTTATTATCTATACTTTTCTCGCTGAAAGTTTTCATCTGACCAAAAAATAAAAAAAATCCTCGCTCACTTACTTTTTCATGTTTACATTGAACAACCTTTTCATATTTTCCATTATAAAACATTAATCATCTGCACGAACTAAATTGTATTTATATAGTATTAAACATCAGTTTACGCTGAATTTAAATATGTAAATTTCATCCTCTCACTATTTTTGTATTACAATTTAGACGAACGTGCAAAGCGACAGGGAACGCACCACTTCAAATAGTCTCGCCAACATCGGAAACTCTCTTGCAGCATGTGTGTGTAATGGGTGCGTGTGTGTGCGTACGTTATCGTTTCCTGCACGGACTGTACCCATTGTCACTTGGAGTTATGACACTTGGTGTTATGAACCCTTGGAGTTATGAAACTTGGACTTGTGGTCCTTGCAAATCTGTACGTTTGGAGTTATGAAATTTTGTATTTTAATTTACTTGGTTTTATTTTAACTTGGACTTATGAATCTTGGAGTTATGAACGCTTGGAGTTATGAAACTTGGTCTTATGATATTTTGGTTTTAATTTACTTGGACATAATTTTACTTGGAGTTATGAAATGTTGTATTTAAAAGTACTTGGAGTTATGAAAACTTGGAGTTATGAACCTCACCCTGCTCTAGCACCTGTAGCAACAGAAGTGTTGCCAACCACACAAATCATCACTTACCTGGTGTGTCATGTATCAGTCTCTGACTCCACGGCTGCTCTGCCAGCACCTGTAGCAACAGCATTGTTGCCAACTTGATGTCAGGGAAGGGCTGACACACCATATCTACCACATGAATCATCACTTACCTGGTGTGTCATGTATAAGTCTCTGACTCCACGGCTGCTCTGCCAGCACCTGTAGCAACAGCATTGTTGCCAACTTGATGTCAGGGAAGGGCTGACACACCATATCTACCACATGAATCATCACTTACCTGGTGTGTCATGTATAAGTCTCTGACTCCACGGCTGCTCTGCCAGCACCTGTAGCAACAGCATTGTTGCCAACTTGATGTCAGGGAAGGGCTGACACACCATATCTACCACATGAATCATCACTTACCTGGTGTGTCATGTATAAGTCTCTGACTCCACGGCTGCTCTGCCAGCACCTGTAGCAACAGCATTGTTGCCAACTTGATGTCAGGGAAGGGCTGACACACCATATCTACCACATGAATCATCACTTACCTGGTGTGTCATGTATAAGTCTCTGACTCCACGGCTGCTCTGCCAGCACCTGTACCAACAGCATTGTTGCCAACTTGATGTCAGGGAAGGGCTGACACGCCATATCTACCACATGAATCATCACTTACCTGGTGTGTCATGTATAAGTCTCTGACTCCACGGCTGCTCTGCCAGCACCTGTACCAACAGCATTGTTGCCAACTTGATGTCAGGGAAGGGCTGACACACCATATCTACCACATGAATCATCACTTACCTGGTGTGTCATGTATAAGTCTCTGACTCCACGGCTGCTCTGCCAGCACCTGTAGCAACAGCATTGTTGCCAACTTGATGTCAGGGAAGGGCTGACACACCATATCTACCACATGAATCATCACTTACCTGGTGTGTCATGTATAAGTCTCTGACTCCACGGCTGCTCTGCCAGCACCTGTACCAACAGCATTGTTGCCAACTTGATGTCAGGGAAGGGCTGACGTGCCATATCAACTATGTGAGTCATCACCTGTGCTGGTGGACCCATCTCTGTGAACCACTCCTCCAATATCCCAAGAAGCTCTGACTCTTGTTCACTGAGCTGTAAAAGTTTTGTTAGAAGTAATAATACAATAGAGCTGCAGCTGAGTGGATCTAGTGCTCATCTGATACCAGGTTACGAGTTTATATGACTTAAAACATTGATTTGGACCACTTTCTCTTAAAAGCATATGAAATTCTATCTTATAAACTGACACCAGCATAGAGAAAAAAAATATCCCAGTTATTCTTGGTTAGGGTATTCCTTGTTATAGAACCAAATAATCTTTAACTTTAAGCTATAATATCATAAACTGACACCAGCATAGAGAAAAAAAATATCCCAGTTATTCTTGGTTAGGGTTTTCCTTGTTTTAGAACCAAATCATCTTTAACTTTAAGCTATAATATCATTTGTTAAAAACTCATCCTCCAGTCACAATTCACCTTCTGAGGAGTCAGTGTTATAGAAATCTAATCTAACGTCATAATTAAATTAAAGGGTCTATGTTTTCAGAATTTTTACTTCAGGCGGAGTCGGGTATTTTATATTCAAATATTTTAATTTATGCCTATATAAATTTAAAATATATATAACACTAGGCCTACAACCAATTTATACTTAGGCTATTCTATTTTATATGATCCCTGGAACATCTGCGGTATTTGCAAAATCCTAAACATCTTCTAGGGTCACGGCGAAATCTTGAAAGTCTTTTGTGGTCATGGCAATATCGTATTCATCTTCTGCGGTCACTTTGAAATCTTTCGCATTATGCCGACTTTTTGGTCTCTTAGGATTGCGGTTAAACCGTGAGTATAGGCCTGATCCTGGAGAAATCGTCAATTTCTGATGCACTTTCTCGCTGACACTTTCTTTGAAAGCAAAATTAAAAGCTCGGGACAGCTCTATCCCAAACCGTCCGAAACTGATCCCTTGAGCCAACTGTTGACCTAACCTAAAAATATCAGGGAACTGCAAAACTCTATAGGTAGTTAATTCATATAAGGAGCACTTCCTTCCTCTTTCATTGGGAGCCTATTTGTGTTCTCCTCCTAAGCAAGTAATTTTGTAGATGTGTGCAGGTAGTGAAATTTCATTTTGGATCAGATACGAGTCGGATAGTTACTGCTCGGTTCGGATCGGATATTTTTGGGTTTGGACCGAACAACATCCAAATACTTAATAAAGGAATAGGTTGGTAATAAAAGCTTATAATATATATATATCAAACCAATCAAACACTGCAATACAGTGTAAATAAACATTAATATAATGATTTGCATTTTTCATCAACAATATACAGTATTGCACAATCATGGTGCAATATTTATTATTTTATAAATCAGTTACATATTATATTGATTGATGTTGCATTATTTTTTGTATGGTTATGGTTTAGAAGGTTTTCGGTTCAAAACGTCTAAATAGGCTACATAGCCTATCCAAAAAATTTGGATATAACAGATTAAGTCTCATATTTAATTTGCAACCAGATTTTTCGGATACCTTTAAAATTTTGTACAAAAATACTACGAGAATAAATTACCATCAAAACCTTTGAAACAATAAAATAAATACTGTACTTCTTCATAAGTGGGATAAACATTTTATTACTTTTGTTCTGGTCTTTACATGGACAATTTCCTTCAAATTAACATTAACATCTTTTTTAGTGCATAAATTTAATTGATTTTATACACACCGAAAAAAGTCAAAGCCTAGAGAAATGATTGTGAAAAATGTGAGAAGGTTGGCAATATCTACCTCTAATCTAAGAAGGTTGGCCAAACTGTTCAAGCCTCGAACCCTGCTTTCTGAAGGCCACTTTAAAACTATTTCATCCAATTTCTTCATTACACCCTTCATTACAGTTCCTAAAACATCAAAGACCAATTAATGTATGAAAATAATTAATCTAACATGGTAAAGCACTTCAACAAAATCATATTTTGCGGTTGTTTAGCAGATATTTTTTTCTTAATTTTAAACCGCATCAGACCAAAGGTATGAGGAAAGTAAATAAACCTTACATTATCATACTGCTTTTAGTAGAAGGGATTCTCCACTACAGACAAAGTGCCTCTCACCTGAGATGTGTATTTTTGTGTTTTGGAGACCGATCTAACTACAATTAAAATGGGCTCAAAGTATCACAGCATTATCACTAGCTAGATAGTAATTGGTGACTCTGAAATTTGTGCTTTAACTTCTGGATCAGCTCCACCCTCAAACTAACCTGTAAGATTGTCACTGAACATGACAATAAATTAAATTCATATTCCAAAACAAATTTTGGATGGATTCATGTGAAAATGAGATCAGTTTTCTTTCCTCATAGGCAAGATTTATTTTTTTGAATCTTGACAGAAACTATTTTACATCTACCTAACGTCACAATTAATTTTCAAAATTGGCATGAAAACTTCTGTTATGTGCTAAGTTTTGAAAAATGTGTTTACTCGTAAGTATGCAACACTAATTACAACAGCAACGTTACCTTGCTTGTGAAGTGTCCGCTTGCCAGCAGGAGTAGTCCCTATGAACCCAATGGTCTCTAAGGCCACACACACTAAACTTTGGTCGTCGCTGTTCAATGTTTTGAAGATAGTTTCTATAGCTCTTGGATAGTCCCGAAATGTCTCTTGGGGTCGCAGTTGAGCAACATTGCCAAAAAACTTGATCAAACCTAAAAAATCGAAGTTTAAATGTTTCTACAGTCAGTTCAAGAAATAATATAACTAGTACCTGTGCTATCAGGAATGGATGGGAATAAGTTGGCTAAAAAGGTAGCAAAAATAAACTCAGTTTCAGACTCAGCTTTAGCTGTACAGGCCAGGCAAAATAATACCAAGCTGTTACTGTGTATCCTTGATGTTCATCCCATTTTGACCCATTAAAATCATCCCTATATTTTTGGTACTTTTACTTACTTAAGGGACACCTTGTATACTCTTGTAATAATTTGTATGTTTTGCCACTATTATCGTCTTAAAAAGTTATTACTTTTTTTTTATTCACCCTGTATTTTAACTTCATGCGTTACTTACTAGTTCAAAAGTCATCAAAATATGTAAACTAAAATAAAAGAAAAATCACCTGAAAGCACTAGTGATGCCAAAGGATTATTCTCAATATTGTTTATCTGAGTGGAAAGATGATGCACAACTCCGTGCGACTCCAAATAACCAAAACCATGGTACGTCAGAGCCAACTTGGTGATAAACTCCAACGTGTTGAGCAAAAGAAGCACATCGTCTTTTTTGAGTTCTGAGAGCAGACTCTCCAAGATGTTGCTGGCCTTGCTCGCCTCCAAGCCCGGTATTGAATTGACACTGATTTCAACCGCAATCTGTTTAAACACACAGATGGTTCAATGTGTTAAATCTAATTTTGAATAAAAAATCAAATGAGTATATTCAGACGAAAAACAAATAAAATATATACCTATTTCAATAGACAGTTCAAGGCTAGAATATTAAGCATATATTAAGCATAATATTAAGCCTACTTAGGATGCTCAGACTAGAGTTTAGGTAACTTAAATATTTCTAGCATTTTTATGATAATTTATACATGTACCAACTCAACTAATTCTTCCTTATTAAATTTCAGCTCTTAGGAACTAAGTTAGGGCCTAACTTGCTCCTGAGAATTACGTTCTGAGGAAAGTATAGTTAAATGTTTTGGTAGGAGAAACCTTGTTTTCTACATTGCTTGACCAGTGTAGCCTAGTTTAAATGTTTGGATAAGAAATAGCAGAGTTAGTAAAATAAATGTTTATTTAGCTCTGCTGATTTTATTTGTCACCTGCAATTGCTTATAATAAGTTATATTGTCTGTACCATTTTTTTTTCAAACTAGGCTCTGTTGTCCAAATCCAATTTAAAACGTAAGTAGATGGCAAGAAATGAACAAACTTTTAATTTAAGACACTGATATTACAAGGCCAAACCCCTGTATAAAAACAATTACGTTTATTTCATTACAATGGTCATATTTTAACATAAATATAAAAAAGGACAGGTGTAGAATGGAGTGAGACGCCTTGTGAAGCTATAATATCGACCAAGACCAGATGCTGTATCGTTAATCAGGATCTTCCTTTAATAAGTACAGCACTAGGAGGATTAAACATTAAGGAGAGGACACGCTTGATTTTCGTTGAAGCCCCAGCCCGACCACCCGCCGTACCAGGGGGGGGGGGGGACTGGGGAGGAACTGTGTTCAGAAACTTTACATACCGGTAATAGAATATTTTAGGCTAACCGAACCAGCAACCGAACTCATCAACCAATTAGGACCGTTAGAATTGTCACATTAGAGATTTAGTTACTGAAATAGCAGTCAAGTATTTAAAAGCTTTAGTTTATTTAAGACTACATCATGCGAAAAAAATTAAGAACTTAAATTAGAATCGCAATATTAAAAACCTAACTAAGAGGAAGAATGTATGATTCATGAACAAATACCACGGTAGTAAATTCAACGATGACCAGTTAATATGTTTTTAAATAAACATAACGGTTGAAGGATGAATGTTTTTGTTTATTGCCCTGCTAATATTGTGTTATAAAGTATTGATTATACCATTTATAATCCTATACTCAAATTATAAAGTAATATAAGTACCTATTTGAACTCTTTATGCATAATAAGAAATTAAATAAGTTATGAAACTATAAAATAACTATACGTACCCTACGCTTTGTGGCATCAGGGGATGCGAGGACTGAAACATTTCACTCTTTTTTTACTCAAAGTTTATTTGATATTTCTTAATTTATCAAGCTCTCAAAATATGGCTTAATATGATATAAAACAATCAAAAATTTAATGGCTAGGAAAATTTTTTACTTTTTATGTTCATAATTTAATTGGGGAACGGCTGTGAGTGTAATAAAAGTGAACGGGGCTTTGAATTTTTTCTTGACTTTGGCTATTTCAAATTATCCAGCTAGCACAAAAATGCCTTAAAACTAGCATAAAATGGTATTAAAAATTTTAGAAAATAATTAGGATGCTAATTTAATATTTATTTCATCGTCCAAATTGCAATTTAATTCAAAACCTAATTTTAATAATTTGTTTTAAAAACTGTAAAAATGTAAAAAAGTTAATACGGTTCTTTTTTTTAGTACTTCCATTAAATATTAATAGGTAAATAAATATACTATTATTATTTCTAGAAAGTCTTTGGGAAAATAAATAAATTCATTATTTGTAGGCCTACAGATACATCATATTTATTTCGATATCGTAATTAAAGTAATCATATGTTCAAAGTCCAAGACAGTTCATTCAACTTTGATCTTCACTAGTAAATAATACATATTAGTTTTTGTAGAAATGATTTTCACCATTCGATAGGGAATTTAAGTTACTTTAAGAATGCCATCGGTGAATAACACAGGTGTTTTAGGTTAGCGACAATTTTAATTCGAAACAGCGCACGTCGTGTTTTTCCCTATCTCTACCATGTTATAGCTGCGACTTTTTGCCACTCTACGGCTCCGCGTGCCCCTCTAGAGTTCTGCTAAAGCTGGCTTACTGCAACATGTATATTCATATACTCGGCCCTCTCCTTGTTAATCCTCCTAGGTACAGCAGAGCAGGGTCCAATCTAGGAACCATTAAACAGTACTGGTGTGCCACCAAAATATTCAAACTCCAGTAGCTTTTATACACAAAAAATACTAATAACAAAAACAATAACTTTCCTACCTCATATACGCGGAACCGATTGGTATCGTTTGTTTGTGAGACAGCGGCTAGAGCATGTAGCATGGCTGGGGAGTAGACAGCTGCTAGCCCCGTTGTTGATGAGCCGAGCCTAACTAGGAACTGTATGCTGCTGCGAGCTACTGCCACCTCCTCGTGAGCCACACACTCGGCCACACACAACAGCAACTCCTGCTCCTGACTGAGGCGAGGGGCCAGATCACTCTCACAGGCTGCACGGTTCAACTAGGGGAGAAATATCATAGTAATTAGATTATATATACATGATACCAACACACCATGAAATGTATTTTAATGTGAATGCAACACCCCAATGTCTACCAACTCACCTCTTCAAGAACTAGTTGTTTGACGTCTACATTTGGATGTTTAAGAGCTCGAATCACAGCAACACCATATTGACTCAGAATAACTGCCGGGTCGAGAGCGGATAGAAATGTTTTAAGGACTTCACATGCTAGCTCTATTTGGTTTCTGAAAAAATATTTTTCAGATTTGAAACAATGAAATAATGACTTTTTTCCCAAAATATAAGTTGTTTACATCACAAATCAAATTCACCTTGTTTTGGAACTATGTTGTTACAGTCTCCAGTATTTGTGACAACATAAAATAAAAAAATTACAGTGCATTTAGGTGCACGATAAAATTATTAGGTAAAGTTAACTAGGTATATAATCAATTTTGTAGTTGAGTTGAATGAACGGATGGAAGACTTATTTAAAGGTTGCAATTAACTTAATGTTAAGACACACAAGATAAGCAACAGTTTGAATACTGACTAAAATCAGCTGATTACTACTTTTTCTTTACTTACTGATTGTGAGATTGAAATGATGGAACAAAATTAGATTAATATCAAACAATAAGACCCTAGTAGAAAGAAAATCCAGTATTTGTTCATAATTCTCATCACAGACGTTAGATTAGATTCCCATTCTATCGTAATTCGCAGGATGAACCTTATTCTTACATGCATATATTTGAGCACTGTAAGTTAAAAAGTTAGCCGAAGAGCAACTGACTGAGCACCATTGTGTGTGTGTCCAGGTTCCCTGCTAGGCTACAAGCGACCTTCGAATATGCGACCTGCCCTGTTCTACTTGGCAGGCTTGTTTTGTTATTTTGTTCTGAAATGTTTATTAATTGTTTTGTCCTTATATTATTTATGATTCATGTTTAATAGTCCATAAGCCAATACAACACCGTACCTGACTCCCCATATAATGTGTTATTTTATGTAGCTATGTATTTAAAATTGACGACCTATGGTATTTTGTAATTACTTAACGGCCAATAAAATGTCTTGTCACTGTGAACTACAAACATCCTAAGAACTAAGTTATAGAGTGTTTGAAAGCCATTTTCGATAGGGAGTGTTCAACAACCATCAATAAGACCAGTTAGTGGATAGTAAAGTAAAAGGAGATGGAAAGACGGGTACAGTTTCTTAACTGGGAGCCTACCCTACCATCAAATTAAAATATCGATTAAAAATCAATTAGGCCTAGGCCTGCTAGTCTATGGATATATAGCCTATGAATTATAAAATGAACCTGTTCTTAAACTAACCTAACCAAACTTGGGTACTTTCCTGTTAAAGGGAACATTCATTATTATCGATGATTTTCCAAAATATTGATATTTTTGTTGTTTGATCCCAAATATCAATATTAACAGATTTATCGTTCAGATCTTAACGGTGTGTTTATAATGAATTCGATAACTTAGGGCCTGCTCTTTTAAAGGAGTATTTTTGATTGATCAATAAAAGTGTTGTTAAGTTGTTATGATGTAAGTTCGTCAAAGTTATTATGTTTTATGATACCTACAAATTTTAAGGCCTATTGAGCAAGAAGATTAGGGTACACTTCCACATCTGTTGGCACAAACAACCAAATGAGTAATATTGATTTCGATTGTTTAATTAGATATATCGTTTGGTTAGTTAGGTTAGGTTAACCTTACCCAACTAACCAAACGATATATTGATCGATATTTTCATTTGGTTGCTTGTGCCAACAGATATGGAAGTACCCGAAGATAATATGACCCGAACAATTATTGGCTAGGCCCTATAAGTTATTGTTGTTTGCTCCGCTTCATTGGCAGACCCGAGTTCACACAACACAACTAACTTATCCTAGTTTTAAAAATCAACGAATACTTATAGATTTAAAATGTTTTTGGTCTATGTTTAAGAGTAGGCTATAAAATACAGTCAGGCCAAATTGTATTCATTAGCCTAATACCATTTGAAATTAAATTTAGGCTAAATACAATAACTTATTTAATTTGTTTACTGATTAACCTACTGATATTCCAAACATTACTTACTACCTAAAACAATAATACTAAATAAATAAACACGTGTGTTATGATTAGTCATTGTAAACATAACCTAAACTTACTTAGCTGAACTGTTCAGACAATCAAAGATTTCTGATAAATTCAAACTTGATGTATTGTACTTCAGCTGGCTGGAGTTCAAAACAGAGAGAGCAATTTTTATTTCAGATAAATTACTTATCACATCTTGGTCATGAGAAATATTATAAAATGCCTTCTGAAACCACTCTAAGTTTTTCCCCATGGTTTGTTTTGTTTATAAAACGTGAACGTGAACTTGACCAAAAGCAAATTGAGAATGAGGAGAAGGGACCAAAAAACAAAAACAAAACAAGAAGGGACAACTAACTTTTTGACAGTGTTGCCAACCGACCTCTTTGGTTTTCCCCGCATGAAACTACGGAAATCCTCGATTTTCCTCGCAAGGATTCTATAATTACTCGCAAAATCTTCGATATCATCCAAGATTAAAATCATTTGAAAAGTCCCATGATAAAAGATTTGAAAAGTGACATGATAATATACGTTTCCACGTATTCCTTTTTTTACTAGAGGTGCAAATGACCAAACATACATGATGCATATATATTGTACTTTAAAAATTGGGGCTCTAGTAAATAGTATGAGTATTGGTCTAGCCATAGACCAATCAACACAATGGAATATATTTAGGCCTATCTTTGATTTAACGCATGCATTATATATAACCAATGGTAAAAGTAGGTTTTCCATCCCTGAACCCTGACCCTTGTCAAATCTGAATCTGAATAAGTAGTTCATCTTGGTTAATTTGTGGGTCTGCTGATGCACGGGCCGCGGACTTCGAACTGGCAACGTCGCAAGTGGTGTTGTAACAGCTGAGTTTTTTGGAAGCAACTATTGGTATTTGTGTATTTACGAAAGATTGATTACTGGACTATGACAAAATTGACTCCGCTTAAAAATGTATAGATATAGATTTTAATTCATATTGTTTCAATTTTCAATTCTGTATGAGTTACTTTCAATATTTTAATAAATTTATGTTCATAAATCTATATAATTAATACGCTACATGAAACTTTGTCGGTTGAACTCCTCCGCCATTTCTTAACTGATTTTATCCATTGACGTCTCATTGGAAAGAGCGTGTCGCGTAGATTTGCAAACTGGCCTTACATTTTTGAAAAAGTCCCTTGGGCTCTGCCCCAGTGGCTTTCAAAGTTCCCATGTTATCCTTATGAAGAACTTAATTGTTTACATTTTGATCAGCTGTATAATTTAATTGCTGTTATTTATTTTTCAATTCAATGAAAAACATTGAGTACATTTATTTACTATTTGAGTTTGTGTAAACATAACCCCCAAGACGGATCGTGTTAGTATGGTTGTATCTTAAATTTGTGTATTTATCGTTGTTTTGTGTCGCTATGACGGATCGTGCTAGCATGACTGTAACTTAAATTTATGCATTTATCGTTGTTTTCTGTAGCTATAATTTGTTTATTTGTTGTTTTTTCTTTTAAATTCCTCCGACGCGAAGACAACGAAACATATGCAGGAGGCGTAATTGTGATGACGACCGCAGCTACAGAACAGTGGCGCGTAACTGTTCTTAACTCATCACAGTCAGCACCTGACCCTGGACAATCTCAACTATTAGGTTACAAATGCGCCCTAACACTACCCCAAAACGACTTTTCGTCCTCAATTGGCCCTCTATCAATGACCTGTGTTGCCTGTACAGCGAGGCATTTTGAGAAGGAGAAAACCGGCCGGAATGCTTTAGGTTTATCAATAACGAAGATAATCATGGACAACCTTATATGGCTTTAAGTCAGGAAATATTTGTAGAAAACATTAAAAAGCAATACCAGGTTATGAACTATGATACAATATTTACAGGAAATGTCGATTACTGTTATATACATCATGAGTATCTCCATGAGTTACACACCGGTAATCTTTGAGTTGACTCTTTTAAACTCCTTGTAAATATGACTGTTATTCGTTTTGAAATATCTCCTGTAATACTTTGCAATTGCTCGAATTCGAGCAACATGTACACTAGTTATAAATTAAATCAATAAAGTGCGAATTAATGAGCTGATGTCACCTGTCTGCCATGTTATCTTATGGGACGTCTGTCACTGAACAACACCATACTTGCGATGTTGCCAATTCTACCAGGCCGCAGCCTGTAGTTAAAGGCGGCCGTGGCTGATATCGACGTTGAAATTCTTTATTAAATCATAAACTATTTATTTTTATTTTAGGGTATAATAATTCAGGTAAGCTCTTAGGCTACGGCCACACGGGCGTTTTTCACGCAAGAACGCAGCGTGAAAAAACGCGAGAAATATAAAATGTAATGTAATGTGTAGCATTAAATGTAATGAGGTATGCCACACGGAGTGTGTTTTCACGCAGATAAGGCGTGTCTGCAAAATCACCCGCCGCGGGCCCGCAGAAGAATGGACTGGGGTGCATTTTTGAAGCTTGTTTTCACGCTCTGTACCTGGCCACACGGGCGGGAGCAACACGCAGCTTTGATCAAGTCGTCCTAGCAAGTTAAATAAAGATAAATGTAGGCCTATCTCATTTTTTCCAGGATAGCGTAAAATATTTTTGGGTCCAGCCAATTACACAGTAGGATCTTAAACATAGGTCGACCTTACTGGACCACTTAATAATTTGTTACTAAAAGGAAAGGCGTTTGGTTGGACTAAAAAATGTAAAGTGGCATTTATGTAGTAGAAAATAGCCTACAAAGATCTGAAGAAAATCTTGTCATTATTGGTATTATATTTATTTTTTTATACTAAAAGTAAGTAATTAAATGAAAGGTTAACAAAATAAAATAATTTTAATGTACCAACATTAATATACCATTAATATTTCTTGTTCACTAGTCAGAAACAAGGTTACTATTTCGGTCATTAGGAAGATATACAACATAATTACGTGAATTCGTCAATCAACTGCGGGTTCCGAGTGCATTTTCCCGTTCCTGGACTTCAACTAGCGTGAGAATAAGCTACATTTTACTGCGTGAAAAAACGCACGTGTGGCATACAACAGCGGGAATTCAAGCAGCGTGAAAATAAGCTACATTTTACCGCGTGAAAAAACGCCCGTGTGGCCGTAGCCTTAATCACACCTTTTACGCCTCTTTCACACGACGCGGCGGGCGCCGTGCGGCGCCCGCCGGATCCGGCGTAGGGCTATGGGAGTATATGAGTCCTTTCACACTATGTCCGGCGCGCGCCGCGCGAGTTACCGCCGGATGCACCTTGAGCCGGAAGACAGCGCCGCGCGGCGTCCACGCCGGACCACTTGGTGAAGGTGCATTGGTTCTTATGGGAGCTTTCACACGGTGCGGCGCGCGCCGCACGGCCCAACCCCTACGCTGTCTCAATTTAGGCAAACAACCTGACCAAGAAGGTGCAACAGTTAATTAAGAAATTATATATCGTTGTATCGGAAAATAATATATTTAAAGCTATTACAAAACATATATTTTTATGTTCATCCCATGCAAATCGGTCAACTTAAAGTATTAAAACAAATTTTTTTCTTTAATAACTAGAGGAGAATATTTAGTATTAAGTTAATAATTTAGTAATTTATACGTAATGTAACATTTTTTTTAACTTCTAGAATACAATATTTTCAGATATGACGAATACTTATATATAATACGTGAAGGCGATTTCTATAAAATACTACTCCTCTGTTAATAATGGACGGATTTTTACAAACGATGTGTCAAAATTAAGTAATTGTTGTGTACCCTTTCACCAATTCCTGTAGTAAAAGTCCTCGGGCTTTGCCCTCCGGCCATGAAAATCCCAATGTATATCTTATGAAGACAAGATTTTGTTTAGTTAAACCATAGACTAACCAACACAAGTAGACTTCTCATCCCATTGTTAATTTTGAAGCTCGTTTTTCATGTCTAGTTCATGTACGCCATACTGGGCGCTAGTGTCGACGAAATTTTGTTTCTATTATTTTAGGGGGAGTATTTTTTATCTATGGTTAAACAGACGAATAATTAGTATTAATTACAACTGTTCATAGTACACACATGATACACAGAGAGTTTTCGTTTTCAGTTTCGATAGATGGAGTGGAGTGAGCGTTCGTTTTCAGAGTGAGTTCGTTTCCAGTTTCGATAACTGGAGTGGAGTGATTGGTTACATTATCTATGAGTTGACTCTTTTAAGTCGACGGAAATTGTGACAATTATTCGTAAAAAAACTACTTTAATATTTTGCAATTGCTCGAATTCGAGCAACAGGTGCACTAGTTTTTATATTTTAAATTAGCCTACAGTATTAATTTTATTTGAACTTTTAAGTGGAGTATTCATTTAAAAGCCACAACTGAACGGAAATTAAATTAGCCTACAGTATTCATTTTATTTGAACTTTTAAGTGGAGTATTAATTTAAAAGCCACAACTGAACAGAAAATAATAAATATTTAGGAGGGCCGTACGGCGCGCGCCGCACGAAACCATACTAGTGTGAAGACACACGCTTGTCCGGCGTAGCGCCGCACGGCGGACGCCGCACGGCGGACGCCGCACGGCGCGCCGCTTCGTGTGAAAGAGGCGTTAGGTGGCCGTTTCTTAATACTATACAAATAGGAAAAAAACCCTGTGTTTATACGGTACCATAGATAAAACATACTCCCTTAGTGTTGGTTAGTCTATGACGGTACTTAAAAAAATACATTATATAATACTTATAACCTTCATTAATAATAATATATTTGTTATTAACCCTGAAAATAAACAAATTATAAATTTTATTGAGATGGGGTCGCCACTTAGGTACGTATTTTTACCCAAATTTGAGTGAAAGATGAGTGTAGAATGGTGTGAGATGATCTGTGTAACTTTGTTATTGACTAAGAAAAGCTATTTCATCAGCCAGGATAATTGATTTAAAGCCCAATCAGCATGAAGAGGTAAGTAATAAATCATAGATTGTTTAGGTTCTACTACGTAGGCCTAAGTAAAAGGAAATTTGAATTGAAGGCAACCAACAAACAACAAGTTTCTGTACAGATGAAAAAGCTGTACATTATACTATTGATGATATGTGGAACTATTGACAAAATTCAACACTGACGCCAATGAAATCAATCAATACACAGTTTCAATATGTGTTTGCTTACAATATAAGTTCACAACAGCTGACTTTCACTCCCAAGGGACTAGAAAGGCTTTTTACTCCCTAGGAAATAAAAGAGCTACTTTAGACCTACATGTGTTTTAAACAGCTGTTTTTTTGCTACTGTATGACAAAAACATTTCAATTGACTTAGCCTAATTAAAAAATGCCACTGGGGATATGAGCAATCTGACATACTTCTCCTATTAGTTTGTCAACAACCATTATTATGGGTAAGCTGTGGGAGTATCTATGATATTTTATAGGGAAAATCACATAAGTTGCAATAACTTTTGAACCAATTTTTACAGCAATGGGGGTTGGACTATTTTGTACTAGACATACTAATTTTTGTGAAAATTCAATTTTTCTGCTGATTTTTTTTGGAAAATCACTATAAAAAACATTTTAAAAAATGCCTGGAGATACTGTAGTATATGGATTAGTACCTACATACAAAACTTCATCAAAATCGGACCACAGGCGTGATCAGTAGCTCTGTACACAACTGCACATACAAACAGACACACACATAGACATCACTTCGAAAATCACTTTTTTGGGTCCAGGAGGGCCCAAAACGGATATATCCACTCAAACTCAAAAATGTTGGCAAAAACAATACTTTCTCCATATAGCATGGCACATGGGAGAAAGTAAAAATCTAAAACCTATAAATAATTTCCCTCAATTATACACTCATTTTTTCTTCTCTCTTTTAAGGTTAAAATGTGTCCCCAACTTGATTGGTAATGGTAAGAAAACAAAAAATGGTTCAGTTCAGTTTATTATTTTGGTCTTGTATTAGCCTTTACAAACGTCTCTTAAGAGATATGCCCAGAAGACAAATTCCATTTTAAAGAACCAACACTTTATAAACTAATACATATTACTATATTACATAATATATTACGCATAACAATGTACTTAATTCTTGGGGCTAAACTGGTATAAAACATGACTAGTGAGCTCGTAATGACAAACACCAGTTAAAATAAACTCAACTCATACAAAAATTTACAAATTTTGTTCTACTCATACTCAATAAACACTATGGATACAAAATTCAAATGGCACAGTATTTACGTGCACTTAAAGTTACTGTACACCCGTAAATACAACAATACACAACTTATAGTTTGTTTTAGAATTAAATATACAGCAAATTTTTTGTTTTATAATTTTCCTATTACCCTGCATTATACCTAACAAGTCTATAAAACTTTACACAATATTATTTAGCTTAGTACTATGGCTTAACAAGGAGATTAGCAGAAAGTTTACAGCTTACAAAGTTTGCACTTTATAGAGAGTTTGTATGATTTTTTAAAATCTTATATTTATTGATAATTAAAATTGCTTATAGACTTTGGTTACAAATTTGTTATACCTTTCTAATTTGAGTCTAAAAACTGAATATGTCTATACTTTTATAAGAGGTTGACAGCCAATTTTAACCTGTACTATGACTTTCAAACAAAAAAATACAACATATCAAGCGAAGCAAGGCTTGAGTTGTTGTTTACTGTATTGATAAGTTGAGTGACTGTATGCACTGGACGCAAACCCACCACATAGCACTACTATACTGATTGAAGCAGTGAATTATTAGTCACGTTAATGTAGTAAAAATTGTGTCTTGTGCTAATGATAGTGTTCTTAAAACTTGTTATTTCTATATTTGATCAGAAATCAATGAAATCATGAGTAAAATTAGTTCAGTAAATTCATCTTCTTAAGAGATAATGATTATAGTTTAAAGGGAAGAGCAAAAATAGGATTCTAGACTCAGATTGAATAAATAAGCACATAATTAAGAGTTTGTAAAGTTCTTTTGTTACTACTTTGTGATTTTAAATGTGATAGCTTATATTCTACTATACAAAAATACATCAACGTAAAAATAAAATAAGTACATATCTTAGGGTTGTTGGAGATTTTTGGCTTTGACTTAATGTTTTATTCTACGCATTATACAAAGCTCTATAGACAGTTGTAAAAATGTATACTACAGTTTTTTACCCTAAAACAAATTATTAAACTATAGGCTAGAAACAAATTAATAATAAAAAAATGTAGAAGAGCTTCTTTATCCACAAGTGATGTTTAATTTACCGTTACAGTAACAAATATATCATTTTTGTTTTAGAGTTTAAACTTAAACTTGATTACTGTGTAACAAAATATTACAAAATATCATTTCTGTTACTGAAGTGGATACTTTTTAAATTTGATTAAATATTGAAAATTATTGAGATGGCACTAGTCATACATACTTATCATATTAGGCCTTAAAACCACTTTTTTCAAATCAATACCATAAGTACTTTATTTGTTTATATTGAAATATATAAGCTAGGTAATAAACAGGATACATTGAGAATGTACAACTATTACACGAAGAAGAGTGAAAGTGCATGACTTTTTTACAATTTCATCATAATAAATAAAATAAATATACTAATGTTTTATAAATAATTAATTACAATTTATGAACACTTATTCTAATCTGTGCATTAATTAAGAAGAAATCATTTCATTATTTGTTCTGTTTAAAGTGTCTTTGTTGTCATATAAACAATACTGTATCAAGAGAGATTTTTTCAATTTCGTCTAGTTACAAATAAATTAATCCTCAAAATTTATACTGAAAAATATTTGTCACGTTCAGGGTGTAGGTACTGATCCTGAAAGAGATAAAATGGTGTAGAACAAAATTTTTTAAGCATTACAAACAGGAGAAAACCATTTCATAATAGAAAAGCACGAAATAGTTTATAATCAAGGGCGTATGAATTTGTAACATAAGATTAATATGATTAAAATACTATAACTGGTGAGAGATTATTTCTTTAGTTTTAAAACATCTTAAAATTAAAATTTATTATTAGAAAATGAAGTGTTTGGATTAATGCTATGTTTTAAACATTGGAATCCAACATAAAATTAGATTGTTCATTTGTGAACTATAAAATATTTCATATTCTTTAAAATATCACAAAAAAAAAACATACTTTGAATTTTTACACTAGTTATCATATAGCTCAAAACCACACTATTGAAGTTCATAGACTTCAGATATCACATGTTTTTACAACAGAAACAAATTACAATTTAAAATTTTAAACAACACTGACAGGAAATAGAGAGGTTGAGGATAAGACTATATTTACGATTTTGAATTAAAAAATTTCTTACAAGTCCATCTCATTAAATTAGACACCAACAGTCACTGTTCATCCTCAATCCTCGTCTAAACGGTCTGAGGCGAGGTTATATGTTATGGGGTGAAAACTCGCAAGCTTCTCAGCAAAGTGGCGAGCACGCTAGCAAGATTTTCTGCTTGCTTGGTAAGCAAAGCTTCCTGTCCCTCGGTGGCGAGCAAGTCTGTGAACACTGAGACTACGTCTTGCACTTTGAGCACAAGGTTGCGTGTGTGCAGAGGTGATGCTGTGTGGGCGGCCATCTTGCCGCTCAGTTCTGTCAGTCGCCTCAGCAACCCGAGGCAGCTGGACAGGTGTGTCTGAAAGTCTGGTGATGGGGAGTTACTCGGGTTGGCCGTACTGCTACTTCTCACCAGCAGCTTTGACGAGGTCACCAGCTTGCGAACTTCCAGTGTCAATGCTTCTTTGGCTTCCTGCAAACAGCAACATATAATTCATAAGTTTGTTTACTAATAGTAATTTTGTGTTAAAGTTTTACAACAGTAAAACCTCTATTAACTCCTAGATAAACCACCTCTCTGAACCTCCTCTGCCTGGGTAAAATTGGTTTCTCCACCATGAATTAAAAACTGGAGGGTAACCAACTTTACCTATAGAATTCCATTCCTATCCTCATTGCAGTACTAAAATAGATTTGTGTTTATTTAGATCTTAAATATTATGCTAGAAACCTGACTTATCCAAGTAAATACTTACAATTAAGGTTTTAAAATCTGTAAACAAACTTATATCATAGAAAGAATTTGAAATAGAGTTAAATATTATATTTTAAAATTTTTGTTTCCTTATAAATATGAACAAGCTGCCGGCCCGTCCTACTTACGGGAATTGAGTAAAACTGAAGTTATGTCAGTATTTCCATATCTAATCCAAGCAAAGTTTAAGCGGTTAAATATTTACTGTAAACAAAAAGCTGCCAGTATAAATTAAAACATGTAAACAGTGTTATTTTCCTTTTCCTTCCCCAAAAAATCGAACAAAAAAATTATTTGCGTAACCTTTCCTTTGAAGACTCGGGGGCAGAGCCTCGATTTGTATACATCAGTGGTTATAGAATCTTACTTATTTCCTATAATCAATGGCAAAATCACAGAATAAAAAAACTAACCTGATAGTTCTATATAATATTTTTATTTTCAACCAGCTGTTAGTTCAAACAAATTATATTGCACTAAAAGAAACTTAAAATTTTCAAGATTTCTAAAAAAAAAATAAATTAAAACCTCTACCATTTTACCATGTATATTTAAAATAGTCTGTCATCCTCTTACGAATTAAATGAACGTAACGTATCAATGAGTATAGCATTACACATAGGCCTAACATAAATAAGACAACCCTATGCATGTCATTTTCATCCAAATGCTGAATTTGTGATGAAAACGCTGAATGTTTACAGCTGTTACTGCAAATGGTTTTATACCAAAAACTAGTGTAGAATTTTAGCTTCGGCTGCTAGACTTTTTAAAATTTTAAACTTATTTTCTTAAAAACTGAAACCCTAAACTAAAATTATGGCTTTGACATTCCCTAGTTCTCAAAATTATCTTTCTTTCACCACAAAAATCACGAAAATCCGTCAAGTGGTTGATTCAGAACCGTGAAATAAAAAAAAAAACCCTGTTACGTTTTAATATTATAGATGTTACACTCACAGCTGTTTACCTGGAAACGAGCTTCGTCGATGTTAGCGCCGCCGCCGTGAGCTTGGTCTGCATTACACTGGGCTGCCACCTGACCTAGTCTCTCACACAGGCCTCTTACCACTACTGTAGCCTCTCTGCTCTGTGACACATACCCGTTCTTCAGTGATACGTCCTGCAACATAACACTGTTACTTGAAGACCATAAATCAGAGGTTATCCAGGGCCGTCGCGTGGTTTTTTGGCGCCCGGGGCGGGATGTTGCACGGCGCCCCCTCCCCCCAAACACGATGAGTGATGATGTCACTATCTTTGTTTTAATGCCCAAAAACAGACACCTAAAGGGATTTAATCACCTTACAAAAATACTAGAGTCAGGAATCAGGGATTAATAAATTATAAGGGATACATTTCTGAAATTTTGTATGAAAATCTGTTTTAATTGATGATAACCAAATCCCATGTAAGGAAATATTAAAATGTTTAAAAAGTACTATACTGTATATGTTATTAATTAATACAGAGCAAATTGAAATTAATGCAATGGTATGCAAAACCTTAAACCAAACCTACTCGCTGAATAGAATTTTTATACAGAATAAAAGAAAACCACCTTATGACATTTAGATATGAAATAACTCTTAATCACTCATTAAACTAAGCTGACAGCTGAGCTGAGACTGCCGTAGGAGAAAGGAGTCATTGGGTTAGGGGTGGATCTCAAGGTCGACCGTCGGCCGGTCGGGCGAAATAAAAATAGAATACAGGGCAAAACAGAGCAACACCGCGACATTGCAATATTGATTTATGTTAAGATAATTAAGTTGGGACAGAGCCTTCAACTCCACAGTGGAGTTGATTATTAGGTTATTATTACTAAATTTAATTCAATACTATATTGATATTTAATCTAACATTTCAAATTTTAAAGTGATTGGTATCAAATAAAATGTATTTGTTCAATAAAGGCATACAACGTAATATTCAACATTCAGTTACACACACGAATAATAGAACTAGTATTCGTGGTTATACATAACTTTTCAAAATACATTATGTACATCTAACTTTTTAAAATTTAGTTGCATTACTTTTGCCGCGGCGCCCCACTGACTGCGGCGCCCAGGGCGGTCGCCCTGGTCGCCCCACCCACGCGACGGCCCTGAGGTTATCCTACTTAAGGATATAACATAGAGCACAAGGGACTAGGATTTTAGGATTTTTGTGAGGATAGCAGGCTCAACTTAAATGGAACAGAGTCCAAAATGGAATAGGAGATACAAAACTTTACCCTATATAGTGTATACATAAAACATTCAAATATTTCACTGTCACTGACAGCATTTTCAACTAAGGAAGATGGTTTTCTTTGGGTCCAATATGGTGGCCACTGGCCAGTGAGTTGTTATTCTACTTAGTGATTGTCATCAAACCTTTAATATCATCTCACACTATTCTACACTCATCCTCCACTCATATTTGGGTTAAAATACATACTACCCAAGTGGTGTTAGCATTTAAAATAATTGATAATTGAAGAAATAGGTTTGACTAGCTGTGTACCCGTTCTACGCACGGGGATCTTATAATATTCAGTTGAAACCTTCTTATATAACGAACAGCAGTTGGTTTGCATATTTTAAGATATGCTGGCCAAACTATTATACATAGCTTCATTTTATGTTGTTTTTTGTTGTTCCGGATCGGTATGACAATCAATAAAAGGTTAAATTACCTCTGTGTCTGCCGGTCGATCCTATAACGGTAGGCTTACTTTTATTTTTACTATCTGATCTCGTTTGCATGGCTCAATCACGTCCTGGTTGAAGTTCGTTCGCTACGCTCACTCACCTGTATGTTGGAGCTCGTTCGCTGCGCTCACTTTCCTTCAGGTTAGCTCGTTCGCTACGCTCACTTGCCTTCAGGTTAGCTCGTTCGCTACGCTCACTCGCCTCCAGGTTGCAAATTAGCTGTTGTCATAAATGTAAAAGAAATAATAGTGCTAGTGCTGCACCCTGTTGGTAATCCTTGTAACTTTAATGCTATTGAACATCACAGAACAGAACCAACTTGTTTAATTGAAACAGCTGTTAAGATTCAATAATTTCATTTCTCATAAGGTTAACATGGGCTTCCAGAAATTCCACGTCAAAAATCGACAAAAACTTGATTTTCAAGGGTTTACTGTTAAATATCTAACTGTCTCATATTCGATGAAATACGTCTAAAACCATCTCATATATGTATAGTATTTGGAAAATAAGTTTCAGGCGGGACAGTGCTATAGTTATTGAGGAGTAGTTGTAATAAAGTGCGTATTTTAGCGTTACCAAGAGAATGACAGATAGACAGACAGACAGACAGACAGACAGACAGACAGAAATTGAGATAAGGTTTGATTCGGTTTCTCTGACCTATGAAATGTAAAAATAACCAAAAAGTTCATTATTCTAAGCAATGTACAGACAAAACTCTAATTTTATTTATATAGATTAAAGAAACCTCTGAATTCATTGATGGTTTGGACGATCACAATTGAGTCAATAAGTGATACATTCACTGAGCTTTAAAGATGAAGTAAATATTTAAAATCATACAAACATTTTTTTACTTTATTAAGACAGCAACAGACTTTGTGCACTGTGCTGTACGTATTTTAAGCTAAATATGAATGCTGGATGTATACTTTACTTTTCAATGAAATGGCGACCATACAAAGGGAAGAATGGATTGAGATGACCTATGTAGATTTTACGTTTAGCTGCTGTTTCTTTAGCTAGGGCCTATTATAAAAAGCCCAGTGATAGGATAGTTGGGTACACTATTACTATTACATTACAATTTTGTACTGTTATTTATCAAAATGTAACTATTTTTAGCAAGATAAATGTACAAAAACTAACAAATTATTTCTTAAGCAACAAGCAATTGATCTATTCATAAGTTTTTACAAAACTTCCCGCCAATGTGTTCCTTAATATGATAAGATCCACGGAATTATTTCATACCTGAGAGGGTACTGGAGGTAATGGTGGTTTTCTCGTCAGTGTTCCCCCCGATATAGAGTCGCTGCGTGGTGGCAGCATGGGAGGCAGGTCGGAGGGTGGAAGTTTGGGAGGACGACCTGGGGGCGACGCTGTGTTCACCCGGGGTGGTAAAGTGAGCGGAGAGTTGTCGGGACTCAGCTGTCTCGGTTTGCTGCAGCAGGAGAACGCTACATTGCGACTTCCCGTGCTTGCTCTCCTCTCCATTGGTGGAAGCTCTGAGTCTGGGATGTCGACACCGTTGGGGAGGTGACCGTTGGATTTGGCAGGAGGTGGAGGCGGCAGATCGAGCTATGAAAAGATTATTAATTTTTAATATGTTATGCTGTTTGTGGCATAGTCAGCTGGCCAACAATGGACCTTTCTACACCAGTTGAATCCTGATGAATCAAACATTAAACTGACTTCAGTAACAAAATGATTAGTGTGCAAAAAATACAAAGGGCGTCCTGTAATCACTTTTAGAAGATGGTTTTGTTTCAAGCATGGCTGTGATTCTCCGAGTGACAATTAAAATGCTGATACAGGCAGTTTGAAGGAATGGGAAGTGTCTAACATTTTAGTCTTCCATTATAGATCCTCACTTCAGAAGAAAACATAACTTACAATTACAGATTTTTTATAACTACTGTTTATATAATTACAGACATTTTTATAATTAGCCTTTTTTTGCAGTAAGGCTACTGTATAAAACTGCTTTAAATTTTCTATATAATGAATTAATTCCCGTGTTTATAAGTTCCTTGGTTATTTATCTATTTAATCTTAAAATGTGTGTCCAATAATTTATGACCACCCTATATATCCTTAAAACTAAAACAGTTTTAATTTGAACGAATTTTCAAAAGCGAGGAATACTCAAAAAGTTATGGCACTGTTAGAATACCCTTAGGTTGAACCCTGAGTATGAAACACATGCCACATCCCTGTGTAAGCTAATTCAATAGTTGTAGTGTTAGTGTTATACTTACGTGTATATCAGTCTCAGGGGGGGCAGGAGGGGGAGGAGGTATGATGAATGAGTTTATCTGTTCACTCGTCAGTTCCAAACACGACCCAGTGCGCTGCGGAGGGGGAACAGTCACTGTTGCAAGGAACGAGTCCAAGTCCAAGTTCAACACGTCTTTGCTCTCCAAATCTGGCATGAGAAAACACATTCTATGATTACTTGTAGCAAATTTATCGCAGAATATAGCAGAACCTGATCAGTTAACAACTGGGAAAACAGTAACTCATTGACTTTAACCCCTACTATGCATAGTTAATGAGTGCTTCCTTCCTGATTTTCCACATGATTGGTTGGTCTGCTTGCAACACTAACGAGAAGCTAAATTACCATTTTGTACTTAGCTCTGTAGTAGGATATATGATAAGTAGGCTACATTTATGCTATTTATAATGTTTTGTAGGTATTCTTTTTTAAGGATGGTACACAGAAAAACACAAAATAAATTTAGTATTTTTTAAAAATTTCTTTTGGAAAATTATTTTGAACGTCTTACATTTTTCAGAAACATACTTACTAATTTTGTATTTTGTTTAGGTATTTTAATTGTTCTCAAAGTCACCTTAAGCTACCCAAATGTATGTAATTGTATTAAAAGAAATAGCAAACTATAAAATAAAATTCTTTGTGAGGCTTCACAATAACCATGAATCATAAAAAAAAAAAAAAAAAACAGTTATAATGTAAGCCAGTGGTAAGTATACCTAACGAGCTCTGGTCCAGATGCAAAGAGTGGTCAGCAAATGGTACTGGAGGCATGCTGATCTCTGGAGGTAGAGCGTAGCCGACACCCTCCTGAAAAACACAAACCATTTGTATAGGTACTAGGAATTGTGTAAAAGAAGTGATGGCTATAACTATAGAAATAACTCTTTGAAAGGCTGACATTTAGGACACAAAAAACAACATACACTAACTTATACTTCGACTATCAATGCAAGTATAACACAGATACAAACTTTACTTGGCATTTGCTGCTACCTGGGTGTGAAGCTAACAGCTTTGCTTGAGCTTATGTTTTTTTTTTTTTTTTTTTTTTTTTTTGTGGGGGCTGGGGTAATGGCATACCCCTAGCTACTTCGGTCTGGAGACCTTTTGTAGCACGAGCTTATGTTAGTAGACTACTAGACTAGTGTTGTAAGTGTGGTAGAGTTTGGTCTAATCAATGGCTGAGAGGTCTAAAGGCTTGCCTCGCCAGTTAGCACCATACATTGAGTGCTGTCTCTTGCTTTATATGCTCAAATCCCATCTTGGTCCAAGTTAGGTATGGAACTCCTGAGGATATCACTATTCTATGGGATAACTTGGTGGCAGAGGCCTATTAAAAACAAACGGTGGAAGAATTGGGTGGAATTTAAAAGGATGAGAGGATTCTTTGTTATTTGCAACTGGAATCGCTGAAATGAAACATTTTGCTTTTCCTTAGGTCCACCAACAACTTGTTTTAAAATTATATGGATTTTGTATTTACAGAATGGGTGAAAAACATAATGAAAATAGGCATATTTAAAGGTTTTAACATATTTAACAGTTTTATAAAGTACTGACAACAGTGACAACTAAGTTTCAATTAACTGCTTTAAGTTTATTTCCTCCCAACATGGAGGACATGGTTTTTCGCCTATCTTCCCAACATCTGTCACAAGAAAAGTTTTATGGAGGGACACATCATCAGACAACTTGTCACTGTTGGCCAACTTGAAGTTGTTTACCTTTTCTGGTGTGATGGGTGGAGGCAGTAGAGTCAAGTCTATGATGTCGGGGTCTAGATAGAGGCTCCCACCCGTCATCTCGTACCCCAGATGAGCGGTTTCTTCTTGTAACCTCCTCCAAAGCTCCTGGAATACATCAAACTGTGTCAAACAGTTTGTAGAGACAAAGTATGAGAGATTTTATTTAGGTTGAAATACAGTTTTTGTTTATAGTTGCACTTAAAACCTCCACTGTCAAAATGTATCTTTTTTTAAAATCAAAATTAGCCTGTTCCAACATCATGATCACATAATAAAATTCCTCACCTGTAATGCTTGTTGTCCTGCCCCAGGCACTAGGCTGTCTGGACTGTGAAGTCCAAAGCTTGAGTCGGAGTCCCGGTTTTTGTCCTTACCTAGGAAAAAATCATAACATAAGTCCTCCTCTTTAACAAACACCCCCACCAGAGTCTATTTTCCATGTCTGACCAAGTTACTTGGAAAACATGCTTAACTCAACATTAAGTTGGAAGATGGATGAATGGTTTAAACTTCTCAAAATTTATTGGACTCCCGTTACAATTTTCTAAATAAAAAATTGTCTCTAGTTTTACGCAAGTTGAAACTAAACATGGATTAGGGATTTCCACTTGAGGCCAAATTAGATCAAAAGATACAATGATGGCATGGCAGTTACCAGAAGGGTTGCGGTGGGAAGGGCTGCTGGAAGGGGTACTGATGGAGTCAGTGTCACTTTCCGTTTCTCCGAGGTCCAATGACTGAACTGCTTCACTAAGAGAATCTGGGAGTTGCTGAAGTCCCTGAGGAAAAAATCTCATGTTTACAGATTTGACAAGACGAAAGGATAACATTGGAGAATGAACTATGAAAAAGGATGTGTCTCACCTAGCAGTTATCATTATAGAATCATGATTAACTTATAATATTGGATTGTGAGTGTGTTTTTTTTTGCCAATAGCGTAATTCTAGTTATATAAAACCTAACTGGAAATATGTTTTAATACCTGCTTATTAAAGACCTCGTATCGGTGTTGTATATGACACAGCTTGTATTTCCTGGCAATCAGTGGTGAAGTTTTTAATCATCCAATGTGGCAACAATGCTCACCATTGTTGTGGAAAAATACGGGTCTCTTTTACTTGTTCATTATAGGAAATGTCCACATTTAAGTTAATTAAAATCATAGACTAATAGAATAAATATAGATTGTCAAAGGAAGGTTCTGCAATGTGGCAGTCGCTGTGTTCGATTCACTGCTGTCGTCGGCTCCTCACCGTATGCTACCAGCAGACGCTGCAGCGGTGGACGCCAGAACTTATGCTAACCACAGCACAGCTGACAGTCTATATATATTTTATTTGTCTATGTTGAAATACAGCTGTTCCGCCAGTTTTCTACATAGTAAGCGACAAACAACCAAAATACTTTTTAAGCTCCTGATCAGATTAGCTTGGAGATTAATCTAAACCTCACCTGAGTCAGTAGCAGAAGTGAATCACTGTGTTTGAGCTGTCCTGGATTGTCCGAGTCTTGTGATGAGATGTGAGAACTCTCCGAGTCGCTCGCTTCTCTCTGATGTTGCGTCAGGTATTGCTCCGAGTTTACCACCATGTCTTGCATCTCTGCAACCCTCTTCAGCACCTGCAAACACATAAACCAACTGTTGGTGTGCTTTGGATAATCTGCAGTTTGTTACTTGTACCGGTACCGTGTACCTTACAAAAATTAAATCATTAGGAAAAATATAGGTTAAATATAGTTCAGCTTTAGTTAGCTGTACAGTTTACAAACAGGTAGTGAGGTGAGCCCTTGGCTCAGAGGGGGGTGTAATTATTGGAGGTTAAAACGAGGAAGGACTGACAGTCAATAATAGCTGTGATGCAGAGTGTAAAACTATAAATCACACTGTCCATTGATTCTCCTTTAATGACTCCTTCTGGACGGGTTGTTAAATCCTCATAGTTGCAAAGCTGGCCTTAAACAACTTAGTAACATGGATTTAGCTTTTTGAAGTAGATATATTTCCTCAGATTTTATTTTATTTTAAGATTAATTAACACAAGTATATTCTACTGAAGAGGTTTTGAAGCTTGAATAAATCTCTGGAAGCTAGCTGAAGAACCAAAACGTTACATAGTTTGTTGTTGCAGTTTAGATATTATTGCAAATATTTTCATTTCGTAACTAATAAGTAGTATATGTGTTATCCAGAAAGTAAAAAAAATAAATAACAGAAATAAAAAAACAAAGATAATATGTACACTAAAACTGAATTTACAAAACCACAGTACTTTATCCTACTTTTATAGGTAATCCATATTTTTCTGTAGACAAGTCTCATGTTTTGGTTGTTTAGGATTCAAACTTAAGTTTTTCACCTCGTCGCATTAAATCGACACAAATTAATTTCTTTTGGACACAAAAAATTATTAAGCACTCAAAAGGCAGATTATACTACTCAGAACTTTACATTTAGGGAATTTCCAACTAGCACCAAAACTTGCTCAAACAATTCTATTACTGCTAGTATGGTTACCACAGAGCAACAGGAGCCAGCTCACATTGAAGAGAAAGAAAAGGGCAAGCAGCCACACAAATAATCGAAGGGATAAGGGATCTTCTTTTGGAGGGATGTGAATTTGTTCATTATTTTATGGAAAAACCTTAGTACATCCAGAACAAAATAGTTCATTCAAGTAATTGTACTAGTATAGAGTCTGACCATCTCATATATACCTCCTCGTTCCTTGCTTCCGCAAAGCCGCTGTCACTCTCTAGTATTTCCATGGATACGACACTTTGAAGGTCAATGCCAAGCTTGTTGTTGGATGTCAAGGGGCTTGAGTTAGGCTTAAATCCGACTCCATAGAATCCGTTCCTGTCTTTGAATTTACTTGGCCTGTAAAAAAGAGTAGGTAAAATGTAGAAACATTATTGTATAAAACTAAAACTTAATATAGTCGGAAAACTTAATTATAAAGCTTAAAACCATTGACTACTGTAAAAGTCACATTCAAAGCTAAAACCATAAGCTGCACTAAAATATATAAACGGTATCAGCTATTTGACACATAAGTAAACAGGAGTAGCTGTGATATTTTACGAGGAAAATCACGAAGGTTGCAATTAATGTTTATATCAATAGGGGTGGTACCATTTTGATTAAAACTTTAATGACAATAACATACTATACTGCGTATACTTCAAGTTGGCCGATGGACCCGGGACTACCTGTGGCCACCCCTATAATCCCTCGCAGTGTTCGCCGGAGCAGCCCGATGTCTAGGCGATGAGTCACCTACTGGCTGTGTTTATACAATGGTAAAACTTTTTAACAGAGTAATAATTTTACATTTTAAAAAGTGTATTTGAAATCTGCTAAAAAAGTTATGAAAAATGATATAAAACTCGACCAAAACAAAATAATATTTAATGTGATAAGGGTGTTACAATGCTAAAGTTAATCAACAAGAAAATCTGCAAACAAGTCTGTTTCTAGATGATTCATACTATTTCTAAAAGAGGGGTTGTGACTCATTTAGTAAAACTGCAAATATATGACCAGTGTGTGTAGTGACAGTCGAGGGGTGCACATCGTGAGTACGTGAAATTCGGCCAGTGTTTTTGCGCTTATTTAGAATTACATTTCTGGACGTATAGTGAATATAATTTTAAAAGTAGTCAATTTAATTTGTTCGCCGTAAATTCTTATGTAATGCCTCCTTCAGAGAAACGGGGTAAAGTGTATCATTCCCAAGCTAGAACGATAATTGCGTCTGTCCTCCAGTATTTCGAGCGAGAACGCGACAACAAAGGGCCGCTAAAAGACGTAAAGAAAGTTGTCGAAAGAGTGTCCGAAGCGTGTCAGGTGTCGATACGGACCGTGGGAAGAATAAAGGCGGAGTTGAAAAGTGTTAGTGTTGGTGCTGATACATCTCATTCTAGTGACATTCAACTGGACTTGGCAGAAGAAAGTGAACAAGAAGCTGTAGCTGTATGTAACCACTCGACTCCTGTACTTCAAACGCCAAAAAAGAAAAAGCACAAGCAGTCACGGTTCTCGCTCATGGACGATTTTGACAGAACTGCGATTCGTTGGCACGTGGTAAATTATTACAGACGCAAAGAGGTACCAACGCTCCGAAAACTTCAGGTCACACTTCGTGAGGCAAGTCTATTCAGTGGCTCATTACGAACGTTATCCAAATTGTTGAAAAACCTTGGTTTCCGCTGGAAAAAGCTCAACAAAAGAAAACTGCTAATGGAAAAACCTAGTATTGCTTTATCTAGGTGTACATTTTTAAGAAAAATGAAAAATGTTGATATGAAAAATGTAATTTTCCTCGATGAAACGTGGCTTAACGCCAACTCAACAAAGGAGGTGGGATGGACGGACGACAAGTCTGATTGCAACTTAAATGCTCCGCTCGGAAAAGGGAAAAGACTCATAATATGCCATGCAGGAGGATACAATGGTTGGATAAACTCACCACCATTGATTTTTGAATCAAAAAAGACAGTTGATTTCCACGAAGAGATGAACCACGAAGTTTTTGAAGGCTGATTTTTTGAGGTGTTGTTAAAATCAATCCCAGCTGGCTCTACAATAGTGATGGACAATGCCCCCTATCATTCCCGGGTGGATAATCCAGCACCAACAACATCGTCTAGAAAAGGGGAGTACATTGACTGGTTGCATAACCGTGGAATTCCATTTACTCCAGATATGCGTAAGCCTGAACTCTACAATCTCATCAAACTTCATAAGCCTCAGCTTACTTCCTATGTTATTGACAAGAAAGCTGCTGACCTAGGATTTAGAGTAATCAGACTTCCACCATATCATTGTAATTATAACCCCATTGAAATGGTATGGGGCCATTTGAAGCGGTACGTAGCATCAAAGAACACCACATTCAAGTTGTCAGACGTTCAGACACTCTTCATGGAAGCTGTGAACTCCTATCCCCCCGAAACCTGGGAAAAATGTGTCAAGCACGTGAAGACTGAAATGGACAACGATTGGCTTAGTGAAGGTCTCGACGATACCAGTGTGCAGGAACTTATCATTAACCTGGCTCCAGGGGACTCGGATGTGGATGACAGCGACTGGGACAGCGATGAGGAAGACGACTTGGGAGTCGCTCAGCTTGAATGAGTAAGTTATTTCCCTTATTAAAAAAAGTATTTTGATCAGTTTTGTAGAGTTAGTTTTAATAAATAAAATTATTTTAATATTTAAAACTATAAAAACTTCTACTTATTAAAATACTAGATTGTAAACAAACGTATTATTATTTATAAAAATTATAGTTATCATAAATTACCGTGTATAATCTGTTTTTTTTTTTAGCTTAATTCTATTTTATTTTACTAAGAAGTTTGAAAAGATGTTTTTCTAGCATAATTGAATTTTTCAGCTGACAACTTTGCTCAAATTAAATAAATGGTTTTCAATTTTTCGTCAGTCAATTTGGTTACAAACAAATCGTAACTTACTTTTTACTTACTTATTTACTTAATTACTTTTTTCTCTTGCAGAGAGAACACAAGAATCCATATTTAAGAAGACCTTGCCAGTGAAACTATCAGAAGCAATTACAGACCACTGAAGGTTTAATTTGGTTTAATAGTTAATAATTTGTTGTACAGTATTGTTTTTTTATTGATGCGTATGATTTGTTTTGTATAGTATTTTGCATTGTACAGTATATAGCATGTTGTATATATAACGTTTTTGACTGATTGTTATTGTGATTCGTATTAGGCTTATTATATCTCATTAAAACAGATTTACTATTAACAAATTCTACGATCAATTTAATTTCACCCAAACAGTCCCGAACTTAACCTATTACTATTGATTTACAGCTTATAACTTGCCTAAATCCTTTTGTTCAGGTCGAGTTTTATATCATTTTTCATAACTTTTTTAGCAGATTTCAAATACACTTTTGAAAATGTAAAATTATTACTCTGTTAAAAAGTTTTACCATTGTATAAACACAGCCAGTAGGTGACTCATCGCCTAGACATCGGGCTGCTCCGGCGAACACTGCGAGGGATTATAGGGGTGGCCACAGGTAGTCCCGGGTCCATCGGCCAACTTGAAGTATACGCAGTATAAATTTTAATTAAAATTGTTTTTCAAATACAATATATCAAAAAAATTAAAAATTACAATAACTTTTGGAACGTAATTTTTATAGCAATGGTGGTTTATACTATTTTGTTAAGAGTTTAAAAGCAATATAAGATACTAAATTTTTATCAAAATCGTTCAAGCCGTTTTTGTGAGAATTTAATTTTTCTGCTATTTTATGTGAAATTCACTATCTATAAAAAACTCACAGTGTGTTGTTCATGTTGTTGTCCAGTGTGTTGTTGTAGCTTTGCTGCATGACGTCGCTGTGACTTCTCGTGAGAGTCATGCTTCCATTCATGCTTCTCATCTAAAATGGTAATATAATTTTAATTAATTTGCAATGCTGTTATGCACTCTATGGGTCGGCCGCTTAGAAAGCGTCCTCCTCGTAGCATTGGTGCGAGAGAGAGATACCAAGCTGTGGGAGTGAGACAGACTATGGCTCTTCCCCCACTCCGCTGCCGCCCACCCCCAACCTTCCCGAACACAGCTAATCAAATTAAATTATACAGCTGATCAAAATGTAAACAATTACTTTCTTCATAACTTGTGAAAAATAGGTCCTGAAAAATATTTGAACATCATGAAATGTTATTATATCATTGTGTAAGCAGCTCTTTTGGTAACACAGAATTCCAACTCCCACAACACCAGGGCGGCGCAGTGTCAGTGTCGTGACGTGCAGTGTGGAAACGGCCATTGGCAGAGAGGGGGAACATACCCTCCCTCGCCATCACCTCCCCTACATGCACTAAAAATTTTGCGCAGGTCGTTTTCTATGCGACCGACCTATAGTAAGTTATTACTCTTTTTAAAAGTGACCATGGTTTTGATGAAAATAAAGCAAAACAACCGGCTTACTTGTCTAAGCTGAGACACAGGATGGTATGGTGGAGAGCCTGCAAAATTGGCATAGCGTTCTTCCTCCGAGTCCACAGCGTAGCTCCATCTCGCTGGTCGCACTGCATGCTGAGAGTGGTAGGGAGGTGCTGTGGACAAAAACTGTATTAGTAATGACAACACTTCAATGTAAATTCAAACTCGTTAAGTTAGAAAGCTGACAGGATGTGCTACTGTCAATAACTGATTTCTGTTGAATACGCCTAAATTGTAATGAAGCAAACTGAGAGGACAGATTTTTCTAAGCCATAGCATTTTTATGTCACTTGAACTAATAAAGTAAAAAGAGAAAAAACTTTTGACTGTGCTTACACATACTCGTTCAACTATGTTCTTTTAGAATAAGGTGGCTACAGTCCATATAAAATGTGGGATGTCTTCTTCAGTAACCAAAAGTCCAATGCTTAAACCATCGAGGTTCAATAAGTTTAAACTTTAGATCTAGAATTTAGTGAATAGTTAGAAGAAAACTTTACGACATCCTAAAAAACGTTTTTCAACATTCCCACCTTGATCCTGCATCCAGGAGTCCTTCTCCTGCTCCAGAGACAGCTGTTGTCCTGCCAGGAGTCTGTAGTAGCCTTGCAGCACTAGAACTAGTTCATCTGCATCTCGGTCCTCCATGCTAAAGGAGAACTCCTGCAACAAGAAATAATTGAATGATTAAAAATGAAACAATGTACGTAACTATGGATTATTATGATACAATATAAAATATATCATAAGGAACAATACAGGGGTTTCATAATAATGGAGGGGTTATATATGAGCTGTAAAACTATGGGGAATTAGTTTCATAGTGATACTTGATAGCATTATGCTTTTCAAATACCTTTGTATTCATTAAAACAGCAGTTGTATTGTTGTAAATGATTGGTGATATAATCTTAATATTAAAAAAATTTGGTTTTTCTTTTCCGAGTTCGATTGGCTCTTCTACCCGACCGATTTTCATGATTGAGGTCTCAAATTGAAGGTATGCACGCACAGATTTGCCATCAAGCATCGGCATATATTTATCTATAATCACACTCGGCTTATACGTAAAAGAAATGTTCTCCCCATGTATTTCTTATAGGAGTTAAATTTGGTTATCTTTGCCGAGTTCAATTGGCTCTTCTACCCGACCGATTTTCATAATTGAGGTCTCAAATTGAAGGTATGCACGCACAAATTTGCCATCAAGCATCGGCATATATTTATATATAATTCCACTTGGCTTATACGTAAACGAAATTTGCTCCCCATGTATTTCTTATGGGAGTTAAATTTGGTTTCTCTTTTCTAAGTTCGATTGGCCCTTCTACCCGACGATTTTCATGATTGAGGTCTCAAATTGAACGTATGAACGCACAGATTTACCTTCAAGCTTCGGCATATATTTATCTATAATCCCACTCGGCTTATACGTAAAAGAAATTTGCTCCTCATGTATTTCTTATGGGAGTTAAATTTGGTTTATCTTTGCCGAGTTCGATTGGTTCTTCTACCCGACGATTTTCATGATTGAGGTCTCAAATTGAACGTATGCACGCACAAATTTGCCATCAAGCATTGGCATATATTTATCTACTGTATTTTTCGACCAAAAAACATAATTTGATTTATTTTCGGATTCTTTCTTCAATTTAAACATAATTTTTTTTTATAATGTATTTCTGTGATTAAAAATCAATAGCTCCAGTATTGTTTAGGTTTTTTATACGTTTTAGACTAAAAATAATCAGTAAATTATAGGCTTTAATTTGAGCTATTGTTCGTTTGAATCAGTTAAGCTTAAGATACTGTTTTACTCAATCAAAAATCATGAACTTGGTTATATCTCGGATATTATATTTATTTTATCGCTGCGGAGCAGCATGGGTCCTCTAGTTTTTTTGAACATGTAAATTGAGCAAGGTGCACCTTTCTTTAGTCAGACCTGATACTGAGAAATTTCAATTCTTCTGGAACCATTTCAAAGGCATAGCAAGATAATCCAGAAAAAAGTGGAATAAGCATGCTTATATAAGAGGATAAATCAATAAATTTTTAAAATCAATTATTTGGGATGGGGACGGCATCTAGGTGTGTAACCCAAATATTCTAACCCAAATATGAGTGAGGGATGAGTGTAGAATGTTGTGTGATGATCTTTGTAGATTTGTTACTGACTAAGATCAGCTGGTTCATCAGTCAGGATAATTGATTTAAATCCCAATGATCAGGAACAGCTGGGTCCAATTTTGAACCATTAAAAAGTGTCCCCATCTCAACTAATTGATAAAAAAATTGATTGATTGATTCTTGCAGATAAGCATGCTTATTCCACTTTTCTCAGTATCGAACTGAGAATTGGCAACCTTGAATGTTAGGCGAGGACTATAACCACTCAGCTACTCAGCCAGTTTTTATGCTATATGAATTGTATATGCATATATCTCCACTGTTTTAAGATAAAGCTTTTGCTTTTTTGTAGTCAGAAATATACCATCAAATGGATATGTAGACCAACAAATAGTGGCCACATTGTAAGGTATCAAATATTCGCAAAAGGATTTACCATGCCAGGATTAAAAAGTAACTACAACACACCTTGTTTTATACTTACAGTTAAATCCCATCACTGATTTATTAAAAAAATACTATAAATGAAACTAGAAGACCCATGCTGCTTTGCAACGTTTAAATAAATATCATGACCGAGAAATAACCCAATTTATGCATACCTCCAATTTGAGCCCTCAAATATGAAAATCATCAGTCGGGTAGAAGAAGAGCCAAACAAACTCGGAAAAGAAAAACTATTTTTTTAATATATAAGTTAAGGTAACAAATATTTTGTCCAAATAAAATATTTTAATTTAGAATGACTCACCTTTTGAATCGCAGTTGGCATATAGATAGTTACTAGGCTGGACACTTGGTCTTCTCTTTGGACTCTTATAAGCGTTACTTGCTCTATATCAGCTAGAGGAACGGGCTGTAACAAAATAGAAAAATCATATGGATACCTACTTTGAGATCAATGCTAAAGAATTCACAGCCATTACTGATGGAATTTGACCAACTATGTATTGTATTAAATATTCTTTTAGGGTTTTAAGAATAATACAACTACGCTAATCCTATTTTAGAATTGAAAGCGGTTTTATGTGTGTTTGATGTCCAATAAGCTTATTTACATAATGTAGATTAAAATATATCCCCCACTTATTTAAGAGTAACTCTTTTATACCATGTGCTGTACCAAGGCCCCACTAGAAAAAACCAATAGTTAAGGAATAGACCAACAATCATAAACATGGCAAACGACAACAAACAGATAATATAATCATCAATATGAACTCAACATTGAGATTGGACTTGATATGGGGAAAATTTACCACAATATTCTTCCTATTCCAGTTAGAATTTTATACTGATATGGCCGGAGTACAATCATCAAAGACTGCCAAATGTGTGATATACTAGGCATGACAGATCAAAATTGATAGCTACAATGATAACAGGTAGTATACTCACCATACTGTTACGTATCCCGTTTATTTGGCTAATTCCTAGCTTAGGGCTGACTAGTATTACAGTTTCCATGTTGCAATCCTGAAAAGAAGACAAGAAATTAATTTAAGATACATAGAGAATATATTAACTATAGGTTAGTCTTTATAACCTGGGTAGCACAGCCTTTACTAGGATTGGAGAGCTGGATTTGAGGTGACAGGACCAATATTTATGTAAAAGATTTTAGTTTTTATTGTATTTTAATTAATTGACATCTGGAGGCAACATCTTCAAATAATGTAAATTTCCATTCATGGTATGTAATTGCAGCTCAAGAGGAAGCAGATATCTGGAGAGACCTCGGCAGATCTTAGGAGACATGGGAGTAGTTTTGTTTGGCAAAGGGAAAGAAGAAGTTTAAGAATTCAATGGTTATTTTCTCTCTGATCAACTCACACGAATGTTTGTTGAGAAGCACTTGGCACCATAGCTGGGCAGTTCACTGATAATGCTCAGATAGTACAGTTTTGCTTGCAGACTCGTCAGGCACTTGTGGCTAGTGCCAGTCATCGTCTGGTTCAACTTGAGCAAGTGGCTGAGGAGTTTCCGCAACTCCTTGCGCTTCATTGACTCCATCAGCGAAACCGGGACAAACCTCTCCAGTCCAAACTCCTTTCTGAGATAGAAAAATTGAAAAAAATCATAAATGTTTAGGTATACATGATTATTTTCATACACAAGGTTTTACAAATTTGTTTTGATATGTGCAGCATCGATATAACCACAGGATGTATGGAAAAGGACTATTTAACTTATAGCATTACATTCATGCAATCAAATGTAAATTTATGAAACTCATTTCAGAATAATATCAAGTAGGAGACACCATATCAATACCATGGCCACAGTAATTGTTTAAGACAGCTAAGCACCACTAAAACTTAAATTTCAACTCTCCAAAATGGAAATTTTTCATTAAAAAAGGAATTTTCTTTCATTCCTGATTACACCTCTAACAAATTATAACATATTTTTATGGGATAGGATCAAAATGCTAAGACCCCTTACTTTTTCAATAAGTTTATACAAAACTCACTCGATGAGCTTGACGGTAATCTTGCTAGGAGGAATGTTGTTGGAGATGGCGTGCTGGTGGATGTGTAGCGCAGCAAGCCTCAAGGCAATGTCGTACTTGAGTTCCGGGGCATACCTCTCTTGCACCACGTCGTTGCAGCACTGAAACATGTAGTGTAGAACATGTTGAGCAACATGTTATCGAACATATGATTGGATAACATGTTGCAGAAGGTGTAATTTTGGGTGATTAAAATAAAAATAAAAATGTGTGTATCATTTTTGTAGATACATGATATATTTGTTTTGATTTTTTTACCATGGGTGATTGGTAGGATTTGAATCCGGGACTTCTGGACAGTGCTACAATCCAGGGTATGAATAAAAAAAATTAAACAGTTTTATAACCCAAGATGGAGAAATATCGATAATGATTCTCAGGTTATCAACAACTTCATTGCCAAGATGCAAGTTTATTAAAGATAAAGTTTATAAATGATTACCTCTTTAGGTGTTTCCAAGTTGAGTTGAGAAGTTTTGTTACTGTACTTGAAGGTAATCTATTTGAGACGTTAACTCTGATATTGAATTAGTCATAAAGTCTTTAGAAAGTTTGGCGAATACAAATAAAATGTTTCAATTAACCTTAGAGATTTATTAAAATTTGTTACATTGCAGAAATATTTTCATCCTGGATGGATGTGAAACCATTTATTATCTTCACAATTATGTTGAAAAGTTATTTAGAGTAATATTTCATAATGTAGGGTCTTAAAATGTTCCAAACTTAACAGACTCGACTTTTTTTACTTACTTATTTCTACCAGCTTGAGAAACATATGAAATCCTAGTATTTTTTTTAACTTTTTAAATTACATGAAGATTACAGTAAAACTTAATAGTTTAAATTACAGCATATCGTTGTTTTAGTAAAAAAATTAACCCTTGATACCTAAGGGTGAGTTAAACTTGCACAATTTATCCAAGTCACTCGTGTTTTGTTGAATTTTTGATAGCAGTTAAGGCAACTTTGATGGCAATTCAGAAAAGTGGTGGTTAGCTGAAACGATGACCACTGTAACAGTAATCAGCTGTTTGGCACCACTCATCTCTCCCTTGAGCATTGTCCAATCTATTCTCCAAAATGTTCCTTACCATTTCTGTTGATAAACATTGAATTGTTCTGTACAACGTTTCTTATTCCATCAAACAAATAATAATGCATATAGATTGCATTACGTATATTATTTTATAGCTTAAAGCAATAGGCATTTACTGTGGATATTTGGATGCAGTATGCATTAGGAGAAATTTCTTTAAGGGAGAAAATTCCCATAAATAATCATTTTTTTTACTCTTAAGCTTCTTTTTTGTAGGATTAGCTATTAGCTTTTAGTTTGTAGGATTCAGGGGATAGTTTATTTTTTCAGAATTAAAAGTAAACAAGATTCAGCCAATCATATAATTTTACAGGAATACATTTTAGGTGTCATGACAGGCAGAGTATTTTATCCCCGAAAATTCATCCAGTTGTGGTATTAAAATCTAGAACTTCTTAATGGTTTCTCATGACATTACACCAATTAAATGTTTTGTAGCCAACAACTGACAAAAGGAAAACGTACATAAAATGAGTAAATAAATACAGCTTGTATCAACTAAAGACATTTATAAACAATTTCCATTGGCTTAAAATAAATATAAAAATAGAACAAAAAACTTAAAAAAAAGATAAGAAAGAAGAAGAATTAACCTGTAGGTATAAGTACTCGAATGCAGCCAAGTCTTTCTGTGCGAGATCACATGCATCTCGAGGCACAAACGCTACTCTGAACAGGCATCTCAGATTGTGGGACCCTGGCCGGGACGCTATCTGTAAAAATAAACAGAAATATTGTTACAGTAAAAAGACAACACAGCCCACACAGAAACAGAAGCTTCTATAGGAGATTTCAGTACTATTTGGCCTTGAACATACGAGGAATCATCAGCACTCTTCAAGCAACCTCAATATATTTACACTCTAGACATACAATGTGTATGCTGACAAGACAAAGTAATTATGACTTTGATGCACAACTATGAACAATATCTGGGTTGCTGAGTGTCTATAGTGCTCGCCTGATAACCAAAGAGTTGTTGGTTTGATCCTGAGAAAAGTCAGATAGTTCAAAACTAGACCCAGCTGTCCTTGAGGGCGTCTGGGTTAAAATAACAGCTGGGCTTAGTAACAAAGCATAATCCATCCTACATCACTTATCTTTCATCCATACTTGGGTTAAGATAATGCCCAATTGTGTCTCCATCTCTTACGACTCACCTATTCTACAACTACAGTAGTGTGACTCACCCTGTTTGGTAATGCAACTCACCCTTTTTGATAATGATGGTAATATTGACCAGTAAAAACCGGTAACAATATTAATGTGACTCACCCTGGCAAGTGTGTGGTCTGGATTGAGCAGAGTGAGTTTGTTTCGTCTGAGACTCTTGACCTGTTCAAGCACCAGAGCAAAGTGGTGAATAGCTTTGATGCACAGCTTTTGTTGCAACGAAGCGACCACATCACCGACTCTAGTGGTGGAGTCATACTTGAAAGACTTTGTCTGTCCATTCTCTAAAAATACCTGAAATAATATTTGAGTAGTTTTGAGATGTACATGTCTATGAAAGTAAAGTCTTCTTCTGTTCTTGTAAGTAACATAAGGAGTGAAATTTTTGATCTAGTGGGTGAAATAATCCAATGTGGTACTAATGTGCAATTATTGAAAATTATGATGCAGCATTATTTTCAATACTCCATTAGCAATCCTTAAACTGTAAAAAATTACATTTTATTTGATGAAGAGCAACTCAAAAAGTTTATTTGTCCACACCATCAAGTGGTTAAGGTATAACTTCAATGGCAATACCATTAGCTGAATTTTACTGATCTTTACCCAGAAATAATTCTTGTTTGGTGTGGCTCCACGATTACCCAACCAAGTATAATTTCTATCTTCGAGGGTTCCATTCCAAACTAATCACGTGTTAATTCCCCATAACTATCTGATCTTTCTGAATTAAGACACATGATTGACTTTGGAAAATTATTCCTGAGACACTTACCAACGTTTGGGAAGTGAAGAGTCGGAACCCTAAACATTATACAATTTAAATAAAATTTTAGCTTTGACTATCTTGTAGTTTGCTATTTTATGATGATAAAAAATTATCCATAAAGGTCTAGAACTAATAACTTAATAACGTGTTTCTTACCTTGAGCACATTGGGCATGAGCGGCAGCCCGCCCTCCCCTCCGCTGAAAGCTGATGCCTGAAATAAAACATGGGTGATAATTTTTGTATTTACTTTAAATAACAAAGATAAATAGCAGCCAACACTAACCCTTGGAACACCATAGATTTTCCGATTAAATATTTCCAATTTATTTGTTATATTATGATTTCTCTCATCTTATGAACATCCATATCAAAATGATTTTAAGATTCTGGTGTACTACACCAGACAAAGTATCAATTATCAATTATCAATTATCAATTATCAATTATTTAAGATGGGGACGCCACTATGTGCGTATACTACACTTTGATGAGCAGTAAGGAATAAAAGAAACAAAGTGCCTGGTTTTAGGTGCAACTAACAAATTATTGTCAAGTTCCAGTCTGGAGCCTTTCTGGAGCAAGTTCATCCACAGATAGATGAGCTCCTCATTGAATATACAGTTCGGCCAAAGAATCTGTCCGCACGACCAGATCTAGTTGGGTCTAGGTGAAGGTGTTGTACTTTTGTGAAAACATTTTTGTGTCTTGCTACTCACTCACCCCTACCCCCAGCACTGCCATTATCGGTACCTGTATGTATTAGTTCGGGTAGTAGCGACCCGTCCGCGGGCACAGAAGTTTTGGCCGAACTGTACCAGACCTGACAAAGATGGTATTCAAACTTTCAATCTTCAGTGCTGTCTTGTGGCCAGGGGGACAAACCACAAAGATCAAACCTGCCAAGTATAGCTTTTGTCCTTTTTTTCGGAGGTTACTTACATGGATGGTATGTAGTTGTATTTGGAAGTATGGTCATGTTATTAATTTTGTGTCCAATACATCAGCTTTTGAAGCTTTAAGTGTTGGGTTGAAACAAAATTGGTAGTTAAGGATTTCTGCCAATATTTTTTACCTTAAACATAAAACCCAATAAAGTTTCTCACCGTGTAGAGAGGGGAGCCATTGACAACCACACCTTCTGCAAACCTCACTCTCGATGGGTTTGACTTTAGCTTTGCTTTCTTGGCTGAACTCAACAGCGCAGACTTTCTTGTTGACTAAAACAGACAATTAGTGAAATTAACTTATATTACTTTATAATGAAAGTGATTATTTCCTTGCTTAAGACAAATGAGCCAAAGGTTTAAAGTTTGATACTTGAATACGGTATTGGTGACCGACAAAGTCGGAATAGATTGTGTCACATTGAGGTAGTTTGGCTGGAACATTAGCTGTGGACTAGGGCCTGCTCTAAATTATTTGGTTGTCGGTTCCGTAAAAGTATTTGATAAGACTCTCTTTTACCAAATGTTGTCTTTCACAGTCAATTGGAAATATATGACATGTAAAATCTAAATAGGTACTTATAATTACAGTGTACTGATACAGGCATCAAAGCGGTAAAAATATAAATGAAATTTATAGAGGTAAAAAATCTCTTAGAGCTTAGAGCTAAATCCAAAAAAAGCAAGCCATTGAAGCCCCGTCAAATGTTTCAGGCATACCAGATATTTTTTTTAATGGAAAAACAGTGAGACAGCATTTATTGAATGTGTTATCTAGAGTTTGAGACTCATCTTATTAGTTTGGATATTGGTCTTAACAAAATTTAATAGCAAGATTTAACAGAATAGATAATGCCAACATTTGTGCCATCAAAGCATCTACACCTTTTCTACTTTCATTTCAGAAAGAGTCACTTGAATTTCATAATAGTAATTTTAATTTCAGAAAATAAGACTTTTATTTAAGAAATGATCATTTAGTATTTCATAAACTATTATTTGCATTTCAGAAGATATCAATTATATTTCAGATGGTATAAACTGCATTTCAGAAGATATTAATTATTGTATTTCAGAAGTAATTTGCGTAAACAACTTTGTTATCAGCATTAGGAATTAGCATAGCTGATTTTGGAATGATAACAAAGAGTTAAACAGCTTTTTATATTAATTTCTGAAATACATTTGACTAACTCTGAAGTATATGTGGCAATTTATTACTATTTCTGAAATTCAATTTATTCTTCTGAAATTCAATTGATAAATAAAAGTTACTAGTCTGGAATGCAAATTATACTTTCTGAAATAAAAATGATAATTCTGAAATAGAATTGACGCTTTCTGAAATAATCTTGCCACTTTCTGAAATAAAATTAGAGAAGGTGTAGTGTGTAGCAGATTCAGGAAGTTACTACCGGGATAGTTATTATGTTTCTATACACGACCACAGCCCAGCCACTCCCAACCCAACTCACATTGTCCAGTGGGGGTTGGCAGACGACAAGCTGTACAGTCTCTTTGCAGCTCCGCACCAGTTGAATGACATGGTCCCTCGGAGCTGTTCTGACATCTTCGTCATTAATAGACAACAGCTGATCCCCCGGCTGTAGCTTCCCCACGCTGGGGCCATTCTCTGTCACAAACCTGAAACAAAGTTTGGAATCAGCTGATCTGATTTTTTTTATCACAAATTTGGAACAAATCATATGGAAATCAGCTGATATTAGTTCGTTGACATTGTGAATATACTATTGGGAAGCAGCTGGTATTAGTCTGACACACATATGAAAATTAATTCCAGAATTAACTGGTAACTCCATAAAAAAAAAACACAAGTAATTTTGACTAAGATAGTTGGTCGTAATTGAACAACAATGAACACTAGTTTATGAATCAGCTGGATACAGTTCTGTGTTACGAAGTTAAAATAATATGAATCAGTTAGAACCAGTTCTCTGTCATAAACATGAAATATAAATAGGCCTATAATTTAACAATCAGTTAGTAACCTAAATTTCTCAGTCACATTATTGAAAAATAATTTCAGAATCAACTGTTTTTGCTTGTTTGTCAAACAACTAAAAAATAATTTGTGAATAAGCTGGGGTTAGTTGATTGTTACACACGAACCTTACAAATAATTGTAAATAATTTTAGATAATGTCAACAAAAGTGGTAAACATTTAAGTTGTGAACTCCATTATAAATGTGACTTACAAAAAGTGTTCTAAAGATAAAAATGATTCCAACTTCCTGTGGAAAACATTTCTATTTTAAACACTGAAAACTGTTAAAAGATGTTGACAAAACTATAGTTTTTGTGTAGTAACTTTGGTTTAAAGCTGATAATATATGTTATTAATTTCCAATTCAGAAAACGTTATGCTAAAATAGAAATTTTAAATTATATATATTTTTAGTTTAAGAAAAAGCGTAATCATCATCATCAATATATTTTCAATAATTTGGAAAAGCACTTATATCTTAAGTTAAACAGCTGAAGGTATATACTCGATTTCTCCAAAAAAAGTTGAAATTGCAAAATATATTACTGGTAATGCATTATTCTTACGTAGGTAAGAATCTATATTTTGTTTCTATGCTCTATGCATGCAGGTAATGCATTATTCTTACGTAAGTAAGAATCTATATTTTGTTTCTATGCTCTTTGCAAATTTCTTTAAGTCAATTGACCGATTAATTGTTAGTTTTAATTAATTGAAGAGAATATTAAAACAAATCAATAGCAATATAGCAATAATTTTTCGTGTCTAGTTCATTTACGGTAAAACTGATTGCTAGTGTAGGCAACATTTTGTTTTTATTATTTTAGGGTCCATTTAATGATTTGTGCTTTACTTTTTGGTTATATAACTAAGGAACGAGTTATTTATGATAAGATTGTTTTATTTGGTTAAACGAGGTTTTAAATGGCTGACTTAACAAGAAACCAATTGTAAACAAAACAACACCTCTACAGTACACCGGACAGAACTAACAATAAAATTGGCTTCAGCTGTTCCACAAGGATGAGAAATGTACTAAGGGAGTATGTTTTATCTGTGATGTAACACTCATTTTAAGATATAGAAAACACCTTTACGTAAAAATTATGTTAACACAAAATTCTGGTTGGTAATTTAAAAAAAATAATAAAGGCTAAAAATATATTCTAATTCTTACAACAAACATGTACCTCTTAGTCAAAGTTTGCTCGTAGCTGTTTAAGATCGCATTACCTACAGTGGAGTAGCAACTAACACAGCAAGGGTAGGGAAGCCACGCCAGCCGTAATGACATCAATAGAAACACAACCAGCCAAAGGCAACACACATGACTCCAGTGTAATGCTTATTTGATTATGATTTAATCAAACCAAAACCATGCGATGGTAATTTATCAGGAATTCAAGAGTGTCTTCGGTTGTATTCAGTTCACGTGTATTCAATGATTGTAATTTTTATAGTAGAGCTAAATTTCTTTTATAGCTCTAGTAATATTTTGCTAGGTAGCTCAATGTGTAGTTACTTATTTGTTTGTACAGGAAGTTTGTTTTGAACGCAACTCAAATATTTACACACTTATTATTTTTCCATGTTTTCTTTCCATCGTTGCCGATCAGCTAAAATGCATTGTTGCATTGATATCTATGAAGTTTAGTGTTATTGACACTTTATTGCAAATAAGACTCAATATGGTTTTCTCATAAGCTCAAATAGAGTATGTATTGTACGTTAAAGTTTTCCTTAAAACGATTCTATGAACAGTAGATTTGTAAGTACTGCAATCACATCTAGAAACATAATTTTAAACCTTTCTTGGCACAAAACCAATGATTTTGAATGTACAACACACACTCTTTGATCTTGCTAAAACACCATGTTGAGTCTATTCACAATAAGTTCCCAATAATACTATAACTCATATACATATACATGTATAACTATGCTATAATGCACATCAGCTGATTGGCAATAAAGTAAAAAAATCTGGGATACAAACATGTGAGCTTGTTTTGTTGTTAAAAAGTGCCTTAAGGTACTTTTAATTTGGTTAAATAGATGGAATGGCCAATTCGTTATAAAATTAATTTTTGTACAGCACCTAGTGGAAAAAAATCAAACGAGAAGCATGACAACATAATAATTAGTATAAAATAAAACTGTGTACATTTTTATGGTTCTAAATTAAATTTACATAACTTAGGATTTTAAACACTAGGTTTTTTTACCATAATGAGAGGTTGTAGATTCATTATTTAGTTGCATGTTCAATTTACCAATTTTAAAAATTTTTCAAACTTTAAGGAAGCAACAATGTTTTGTACTCCTATACACGTCTATCACAATACACGCATTTAACCTTTAAATGCCAAAATACTTTATTAATAAAAAATATAATAGGTTATTTATCACATATACATTTTCAACATATTAACACATTCTAGTGGAAAAGAAAACGAAGGAAGAAGATCGTCCGAGTTGAGCAAAGAGATCGATAGCAAAGGTCAGGAAACAATGGAAGCTGAAAATTATCTTTTTTATTTGTTCCGTCAAATAACTTGAGAAACAATTTGTTATTATGATTTTTTTACAAGTGAATACTTAAATTTACAGTTTTTAAAACAATTTTAAAACAAATTTTGGATTATAAATAATGTTAACCATTGAATAGTACTTTACTAGTCAAACTGATAATTTAAATGTCAATTATGATTGGAAATTTGATTCAGTGGAAAACTCAATCATTTTAATACAGTCATTTTATTACTGTTAGAGAAGATTATAATGTTTTGAGTAGTACTTTTAATTTTACATTTGTGTACATTTCATTTTTCCCATTAAATAGATTTGTATATTTTTGTCATTTATTCTGCTGGATTAACGATCTAACTAATACATTCAATGTAGTTTTTAACTTCTGATTTCGTCAATATTAAACTCTATATCTGCTTGGAAGAATATATCACTAAATTATATTTTATCGTGAATTTAAATTGTATAAGATAATTGCTTGTTATTGTCTAAGGTTTATCTTTGTCTCAAATAAAAGATCTTTATAAAAACAAAAGTATTTTTTTAGTTTTAAGTATATGGAAACCGGTAAAAATAATTGTGTTTAGTTACTGATCCAACCCATATTTTCGTTCAAATCAGAGTTTTCACATGCCTCGCCATGTTCTAGCTGTGTTTTAAATACAGTAGGTACTACAATAGTGCTACGGTATAATGCCTGGTACGATACTATTTTTTACAAATCCGTTTTAGGCCTATGTATAAAAAAAACTATTAATATTGCATTGTTCACAAAGGAGCCAGCATTTTAAGTGTTGGATTGCTCAACGAATTGAAAACGATTCATCAGAAAATAATCACTGCGAAATTGAATGTCAGTAAAATATTTGATCCCGGGGAATTGAAACAGAAATATGAGAAATCTAAGAGGTAGAACTGAAAATCCTTGAGTAAGAGATCCGGCAAAGATCTTGGCAGAGCAATTAAAAGCGACCCAGAATCGTGGGGTGGGGCGAATCGAAGTTAGAAACAGGGCAATTTGTGCTGATGTCATGAAATCATTTATTTTTGGCGTAACACTTCCAGAATCCAGAATACAAAAAAAAAATTTCAATTAAGGTCTGTAGTGTTAATAGAGCGATATTTTCGTATATCCATAATCAATTGCAAGAGATTTGAACACTTTCTCAAAGCTTTTTTGTAACTATAATCAATTTTGCTGTATAAAAGAAACAATCATGGCAATAATAAAAACATTGTATGGTAGGCACCAGGCAAATTATGTGAAAGTGCTTTTATTTTAGTGATTAAACAAACAGAGTATGGCGAGTGAAATCACTCTCAATAGACCTGATAATTTTACTAAACAAAAATAAATCTGTTATTTAATAAGTTGAAAGACTACTCACTTGAAGAAGGATTTTGCAGGACACATAGTCTAAAAGTTGGGATAACCGCATGTACCAAAAAAGGGCAGACAAAGTCAAGCTAAGCACTGAAATTAGGCATCTGAATTTAGATTGAAATAGCTTTGTATAAACTTCAGAACACAAAAGAAAACTTTTAGTCACCGAAGACCATTTAAACCACACAGTTATGTCATCGATATGCTTGCAGAAATTACAGATAACATAGAGAAAGGAAGTCTTATCGTGAGAGATATAAATGTCATTGATAAAATGAAAATTTTGATATATTATCTGCTAGCTAAAGGAACAGAATAAAGGCTGGACATTATGTCTTTATTTTATGCTTGAGATCAACGTTTGAAGATCAAGAATTACTACATCTTATGCTTTGAAGACTGGGTTTGGACCTCAAACTTTGAAAAAAGTCACCAGGCAAGGGCACCAGTGAGACATATTTACAAGGAGGCAATATTTACAATATATATGGTATACCAAATCCAAGGATCGAAAAAACCTTCCTTCTGAAAACATTTAAATATAAAATACCAAATTATCATTCAACCAAAACGTTGTATGAACATAAATTTACAAAGTTAATGATTATTTTTTTGACTTATAAAAACAATTATACGAAGTTAAAACTATTGTATGAATGATAAAGAGTAACATATTTTGAAGTTGCGGTACTTATTTATTCCAGAAAAGCTATCTAAATGCCCTT